GTATAATAGACATACCGTTGCAGGATTCCAGGAACCTCTTCCCCGAAGCCCCCGGCCCCGACACTAGTGGCCCATCGGCAGCCAGAAAAGTTAACCGCCTTTCGTCCCGACCACACCAACTACCTTCTTGTACTATGATTCTCGCGAGGTATCTGCCCAGCATGCCCAAAGTACGGTATGTACAGAGGTCCCTCTAATAATTGGCAGTCTTGGTATCTACGTGTCCGTAAAAACGTACGTGGACGTACCTACGCAATGCAGATAGCGACGAGTGCGGTGGGAATCGCGACCCGACGGACCACGCCGCCCTAAAAAGTACCTACCTGACCTACTTGACCCAACTAACCAATCTAACCAACCAGCCGAATCCTTGTCTACTAGGGATCATGTATCGTGGCTTTCGGTTTCCACGGCTTGGGTCTGGAATCGCGGCATCCACAGGGTTAGCTGGCTGGCTGGCTGGCTGGCTCGCGTCTTGGATGTCGCGGCGGTGAGGGACTGGACTGGACTAGTTTGCTACTTTGGGTATCACCTCATATCATGGATACTATATCAGAGGTGTCGAGATAATCCTTGGTTTAGGCTGACTCTTGACCGCTTCGTGACAACTCTCTACTCTGCTTTTGGCAAATTTTGGCCCACTGTGGATTTTACCAAGAAGGGAAATTTTTATACTATACAGAGTCTCTTATTTGGAGGGGCAGGAGAGGGGGAAAGAAAAGATTTGCGAAAAAGAAAAAGCAAAATAAGAGGGGCTTTCCTTTCTCTCTAATATTGGATTTTTTTTTGTTTCAATCTTGGAACTTCACTGTGGGGATCGCTTAGCTGGACTAAATCCATCGATCTATCGATCTATCCACTATCAGCCTGAGGCTATCAACACGACCTCGACTCGTCAATATTGTAGACCCCTCGAGTCCTCGATGGACAAAGGAACAGTATGTCGAACTCGAACTCGAACTCGTGGGAGGTTACCTACCCAGGAAGCAAGTATACAAGCAAACTGCAAACCAATTAAACTGTCTCAACCCACCATCCAACCATGGAAGCTACCCGTCTCACATCCAAGATTTGGAAGATCGGGAGTTGACTCGTTCCATGGTTCAATCCCGCTTATCGCGGGGTCTCGTCCTATCTACATCTATATACGGAACACGGATACTTGCCCAGCGCAGATCGGGATAATTCACTTACCCGGGAGATGGAATGCCATCTATTGGGGGTGTTTCTCGGTGTTGTACAGATCTGGGTGGGTAGTACTAACATGCGAGTAGGAGCGTGCCTTGTTTGGCTATTTGGATTATGTAGGTAGATTGATGCACCACATGTGTTCGGTTCCTGTCGTACAAACTTATGTTGGTTTCTAGAACTGATAAGCCGGTGCATGCTATTCTCCAGGGGAATGATGGAAGGTTTCCAGCTGAGGTGAGCCAGACGAGTCCTCATAGAGTCCACAGTCGGTGTAGTGGATATATCGCGATAAGCAAGCGGAGAACACCCACCCACTCCATCCGTACTCCGTAGATATAGTCACCATTCCATCATAACTTGTATCACTGTATTCAGTAGCCCCGAAATGGGCATTTGATCTACTTCGTGGCCCCATCCCTCCCCCCGTCTCAATAGACATGAACGAAAAGGGGGAGGGGGATCAGTCCATCCAGTAACTAAATAGATCGGAGTCGATGGTCTTACCGAACGCGACGCAATCAAACCCAGACCACTACCATAACCACCACAGCCCACAATATCGGACATCCCACCCCCACTTCTCTAGAACATCGGTCCTAGGCAATAAAACTAAATTGCACTAGGTGAGCAGAATCCTTCTCGAAGACGTGGGGAGGGGGGTCACTCTCAATCACATCCACTAACCAACGGTGTGGAAGAAACCCAAAAAGGGGTAACATCAACCAGTCTAGAATGCCCCGGTAGATTGTTCATCTGTCTATCCCGTAGTCTAACCGCTTCGTGCATCCCGTCGAAAGGAAGTAAAACAAGAGGAAAATAATCAAAAGCTAATATGAAGGGAGAGAAAAGGGGGAGGGGCAGGGCAATCTTAATCCCTGTATCACTATTGAATCTGGATGGTTGTCTGGCCAGTGGAACTTCCTACTGGGCGATTACTATTAGTCCTGCGGCATTGCCGCCTGTGGGCTGGGAAGATCGCAACTACAGAGTTACCCGAGGGGCTGGGACGATCTGTCCATCTCGAATTTTCTTTCTTTCCGTGTCTTTCTTTCTTTTTTTTTTTTTCTCTTGTTTATTATTATCTTGTTTTCTGATCCATTGACTTTCATGCCGTGTCAATCATGGCTCTGGATGGCTTCCGGTTGGAAGGGAGCCTTAGGGTTTACACTGTCTCTGTTTGGAACGGAGGAAAGGGCTCCAAGATTCGTGATGGACAAAAGTACCTTTTCCTAACGATCCTCTTTTCGCTTTCCCTGTTTTAGTCCCCTTCCATAAACGTCAGAGCTTGGCTGCTTCGTGTTGTCCTCAAGGATCTTCGCGAAACCTGCCATGATCCATTCATCCCTTGGTCGAAAATCAAGACCATTTCCGTCTCTGCACTCATGGTGTGACCTACCCATTCACCAATCTATCACCGCCATCCCCTTGAATAACAGCCGTGAAAAAACATCCAGTAACCCAGAGTTAGATTAACATGATGATCACCAACGAAATTAATATCAATAGATTATGCCCGCCTGTGAGGGAGACAGACCCCTCCCCTCTCCCCCCTCCCTCTACGCTCGCTCCCCCTCGTCTCACACCCCCTCTCTTTTCTCGTCCCTTGCAGGAGAGCCCCTCCATTCTTAACACCTACTCGCTGGACGTGATGTAGTGCGTAATATGTTTCTGGATCTGAGCGCGCGCGGGGGTACTAATCTCCTGATGGCCTGGCTGGCCCTTTTGGGGACGGTTCTGGAATATAGTTCCGTGGTGTCTTACCTAGCGTTGACTTGGGAGTCGAGAATATGGGAGGGGTGAGTTTCTCCTTGGACTGTTGTTTCGGGGGTATACTCCGCAGATACAAGAGATGTTCTGTTTGTTTCTCCCATGGTGGTTATTCGGTCGGATTAGCTGGAGGAGGGGAATGTAGCCAGCGCTTGGGCTTTTTCAGGCTTTGTATCACTTATATCTGGCAGCGTATATGGTAAATGACGATATAGACGTTACAGTGTAGCCTTTAGAGCTGGATAGTAGTCAGATGAGAAGTTGGTGTCTATATAAATCTGCTTGTACTCCGTAGATACTGGATATTAATGCAATGCCGAAGAGTGTTATCAGTATTATGGTATCACTAGGGAGTGTCGAGTATGACGATTCACTTACCAGACAGGATAGAAGAAATAAAGCTCATGAGCAATTTATTCTTGACTCGATCACTCTGGGTGTTTTTTTTTTGATAATTGTTGATAATTATTGATAACTGTTTGTTATATCTCTTCATCCCTGGATGACTGTCTAGCTGATATATTATCTAACCACTCATATAATGACTGTTCACACACACCTCATATATATACATATACAGTTCTTCTGAATAGTTTTATAATATACATTGGCCACATAATACTCCGGCTACTAATGACAAAATATATTCACAATCTTCAGCGAAAAGAAGAGGTTAAATATGCCAATACACGCTCAGTTAAAACCAGACATACGCAAGCTTGAACTAACAAGCATGAACCCAAGACAAGAGATGAGTTTCCCAAGTCCACTAATCACTGTGCTTGATAGCTCTACTAGAAGATCTTATATCCCATAAGATTGCACAGGCTGTAAGGCTTTATTGACCAAGCAAAAAACATCACTGCTGTCAAGTCTGAATCACTGGTTATATATTGTACTCAGGGTTTTTGATACCCGTGCTGATAGTGTGAGAGCTCTTCTGTGAGATAGCCTTGTTAAGTCTACCTCATATATCTGTCTACTCTACATCTTCGTTCTTGGCACAGAGTAGTGAATATATCATTGGGTACCTTGATGTATACTAACATTAGTCTACACAACTCCATGATGCATATCACTGGATACGGATTACCAGGGCTCTATCATAATCCTTGCTGAACTCTGCCACTACCAGAACCACGAGAAAAGATGTGAATAGGAATCTATCCACGAACGTAATAGGGTACATGGCAGGGCAGACAGTCACGATCCAGGCAATTACAGTTCCAAAAGTAAAAACTGCACACTTCATAGTGAATGAAAACCTTTGAATAGGATAATAAGCGGGTTTGAGCATGATCATTCAACACAAACCGCGAGAAGCTCACTGACCAAGCACTAGCTTGGGATTATCTTATATATAGTTACTTAGCTTTACAATCTTAAGGGGCTCTAGATGCAGGTTCTCTTGTTTACACGCATAGCTTCTAAATATTTCTATATACCATGTTTGCCAATCATATTTTGTTGAGTATATCAGTCAGGTTAAGCCTTATATTAGACGTTAGCCAACGTTTTGGCGTAGCGGTCTTGAGATATTTCCTTCCAAAAAGCACGGAAACGATCAACTCCTGGCGTTGCTACCCATGATGTCGCGTCTTGGCCGCCCAGAAACTCCTATGACAAGCTTCGGCTACTGCACCTCGAGATCAACATATTATCAAACACTACCCCTATTCAAGCCCTATGCACCCGTCCCGCAGAGGGACGGCCTACTTGGCAAGAGGGCAGAGCCCAATATGGAAATATCATGGACAAAAGACACCTTGATATGGACGGGGTAGAACAGCGAGATACTCAGCACTCTCGTTTTATTATCAGGTAGAGTTTCCTATAGCAGACCGGACATGACTTCAACATATCTCGCCTGGCACATCATGGCTGAAAGCTAAGTGGGAGCCACCGTCTTAACACTCTACAATGAGGACATACAGACATGATGTACGCTTCTTTGATAAACCCTAGAATTCGTCTGTCGACTATAGAAACATCGCTTTCCTCTACACACCTATCAGTACAAACCATACCACCGCTCCCTCCACCTAATTCTGCTGCATCAGAACCGGCTTGTGCGAGCTCCAGAGCTTGCGAGTGGCCGAATACAGCGCCACCATCACGCCTTGGACCTCCTCCTCGTCCATCTCCATGTCACAGTCGGCCTCCGGCTCGTCCATATCCGTATCATCCTCCTCCGCGACGTCGCTCACATACTCCTGCGCCGCCGAGGCTGCGGGCAGCTCGATCTTGACGTTGGCCGCCAGACTGGGAACGCCCTTGTCGTTCATCACGAAGAGCATGTAGTACCCCGGGAGCGCAATGCCCGCATCTTTCGGGATGTCCGCGTGGAACACCGCACGGCTGCCCGCAGCATCAGCATCGACATCGGCATCGGCAACAGCATCGCCGGAGGCGACAAACTTCAGCGGAATGCGGCGCTGGTCAGTGTTGACCGTGTGGGAGACCGTGCCCAGACGGACCAGCGAGGCGTTGCGGATGTCGGCATCCGCCTGGAAGGCCAGTTTGCCGCCCACCGGCACGCGGAACTTGCGGTCGACGATCTCCGGCTGGGTGGGGCGCTCGGCCGGGGTGCCGTCCTCGCGGTACAGATAAGGCGGCCTGAAGATCTGCGCGTCGTAGTGGTTGGCCGTGCAGTTGCCGCACAGCCCGCTGCCGCCGTTCAGCACGGTGGCGTCCGGCAGCAGGATCGACAGGCTGTGATAGACGCGCACGATGTTGTTCTGCTTCAGCGGCAGGAAGATGTCCCACTCCGGGTGGTAGATCTCAGGCGTCAGCTGGACGTCGCGCTCCGCCTCGTTGAAGGGCACGCCGTAGATCTCCCCGCCGGTGATGAACACCGTGCCGTCCGGCAGCACGACCGAGGTGTGGTACACGCGCTGGTTGTACATGCCGCCGGCGCCCTTGACGCCCTCGGTGCCGTTCTTGCCGGCCACGGCGACCCGCGGCTTGCGGTAGGGCTCCTTGATGGTGATGAGGTGCGCGTTGCGGTGGCCGTACGATCCGTCGTAGAACTCCTGGCCGCCGAATGTCAGGATCTTGCCGTTCACGGCGTCGAACATGACGGCGTTGCCCGAGGTCGAGTCCTGGTCGTTGAGGCGGCGCGTGGCGTTCTTCACCGCGCCGTCGCCATGCGTGTCAAACCACAGCATCTGGCGGCTGGGGCCGGCGTGGAACACGCTGCCGTTCTTCCAGCCAAACAGCCAGGCGTGGTTGTCGTTGCGCAGCGGGATGTCGACCGTGTGGATGTGATCCGCCTTGATGTTCGGCAGGATGCGCCAGCGCTTGGCCTCGGGGTCGTAGACTTCGCCGTCCTTGGGCATGTTGGAGCCGCCGCTCCACGAGCCGCCGATGGCGAAGACCTTGCCGTTGGACAGCGTCGTCGACGCGTGGTAGCCGCGGTGGAGGTTCATGTCGGGGCCGGGGATCCACTCCTCGCCGTTGTAGATGCTGGTCTTCTGCGAGTCCGCACCGCCCGACACGATGATGTTGCCGTCGACATCCATCGAGATGCCCGGGCAGAACATGTCGTGGTACGTGTTGGTGACGTTGGTCTGCACGATCTCTTCCTCGAACGGGTCCCAGGTGGCCGTGAAGGTCTTGCCGCCCGGCGACGCAAAGAACCGGTCGTCGGTCCACGCGGACCAGAGCATGATGTTGTGGTGCCCGTTCTTCCCGAAGCCATGGGCACCCGCCGCGGCCGTGATGGGCAGGTCCAGGGTCGGGCCCCAGACGCCCTTGGCCGGCTCGTGCGGGAGCACCGCGGCGGTGGTGTAGACGTTGACGTCGACGACCGCGGTCACGGCGTCGTCATACTTCTCGCTGGGGCGCTTGGGCGGCGGCGCCTCGCCCGTGGCCTTGATCCGGATGTAGCGGGCTCGGATGGCCTCGAAGGCAGACATCTTGGGGCTCTTGTTCCAACCCCAGGTGCCGTAAGCCACGTTCGTCCAAGCCAAGTTGTCCTCGCTGACGTAGATCTCGTGCTTGGCGATCTGGCCGCGATCCTCCTCGCCCAGGAGCGGCCGCATGCTGATGCCGTTCACGTTGTGCACGTTGTGCAGGTCCAGGGTGAGTAAGTCCCAGCCATGCCGCGAGTGTGGCTCACTGGACCAGTGGGTTTCCGCGAGCCCGTCGTTGGCATACTCGCACCGGCTACCGTTGGCGATGCTGGAGCAGTGCACCGTGAACTCGTCGCGCGGGAGGAGCTTGCCGCCGTGCGGCCGGGCTTGCCAGAGGTAGGCCTCGGGGTCGATGGGCCCTTGGGTCTCGGGCTGGATGTCGCTCGAATCGGTAGCAAAAGGGATGTGGGACTTGTGAGACTCCGTGGAGGCGTCCGCAGAGCGGGCGAGCAGCCCGACGAGCAGGCTCGAGGCCCAATGGAGCTTCATTATCAACAGAAAGTGCGACAAAGTTGGCTGTCTGGAGGGAGAACAGCGTGGATGGACCGGCCGGGGTAGAAATAGCAGTAGGGCATCTTGCCGGGGCAACCCTCCGGCACACCACGGACGACCCTCGCATAGGCCCTGTCTTGAAGACGATTTGGAATCATTTTCCGCACCGGTCGTGACGTAGGTGGTTGAGCTGAGGTGTTCCATTGGGGACCCCATTATTGGGGCCCTTGTCGATGCGCCCGACATTGCGATCTGCAGCGCGACTCCATGCCGGGCCCACTATGCCTCCCCAGCACTGGACAAACCCTTTATTAAACAATCGATTATGGTTAACACCGCACCGTAGTTCCAGCGCGACTCCACGCCGGACCCACTGAACCCCCAGCACCGGGCAAACCCTTCATCAGGCAACCGATCATGGTTCACACCGCATCGTAGTTCTAGCGGAAGATCGACGCGGCCCCGAGAGGCGCTTTGCTTGACGGTGGCGTTTCCGGAGACGACATCCCCCGACGCCCGCAGGCCATCAGCCGTTATGCAGGCGGGCCGTTCGTACAGACTGGCATGAAGATGGCTCGACTGGCACATTCCAGACCCTACGCAGGACTGGCATGCTCGTCAGTCGGATGTCGATGGCCGCAATGTGAGGGCATCCGCGAGAGCTGCCGGCCGTGCACGCCTCTCCACTGCAGTCGCAGAGCTGCACCATGCAGAGTTTTTCACCCCACCTCGCTCACCATCTTACTCCAGGCTCGTAGCTCCTGTTGGCCGCCGATGGTCTCCCCAGTGGACCCCATCGCCCATTCCGGCAGGTGTTCGGGAGGAGTGCGGATGCTCGATCTAGGTGGCTACATGGCGCCAACTCCACTGTGCTGCAACTAGTAGGCAGCTAGGGTATTCTGCGGAGCCACTGTCCTTCAGCTCATTACTGTACAACCAATAGCGCGTGGACCCGGGTCCTTGCACCTCGCTGCGAAAGCCGGCCGCGGAGATCATATCGCTTTCCTGCGTCGAGTCCACGCGGCATGCATGTGGATGTGCCGTCCTGAATGACGCAGACGACGGCGACGCAACACTCCTGCAAGTTTCAGCTGTGACCAACACATGGTTCTGATTGGCCTGAGCCGTGAGCAGCTCCATGTATCATGGAGTTGCTGGTGATGTCGTGTCTCCTCCCACCTGAATTCGCACGGATGGCAGTGCTGCGGCCGGCAGCGATTAGAAAAACACGCGTCTCATTGGCCATGGCACTCGTCGGCCACCACGGCCGCGGGGGGGTCATGACCATAAGAAGTCGTCTGTCCGGACGGGGCCATGGGGGCAATTAGCAGGATCACATCTCTGATTACATCTGTAACGACTGTCATCTCCAACATGCCGTCTGAAGTCGACCCCGCCAACATCCAGGGCAGTATCTGGTGCGCATGTCCTCGCCATCTCGTCAGAGGGTCACGATGCTAACGGGTCATTAACAGGCCCCGTCTTCCCCGGTACTACGAAGCCTTCCTGTTTTTCAAGGTCAAAGACCTCGAAGACGATGAATCCTACACCACGTTCAAAGACCACCTGCGTAAGCTGGTCTTTGACCATAATGACCCTAATAAACCGGGCAAGATCGCCACCGGCGCCCAATGCAAGGAGCATTTCGATACACATGGCGGCTTCGACGAGGCCCATGATCGAGTAGACACGCTTCCCGAGGAGCGCCACACGTTCAATGCCATCAACGTCGCCTTCTCTGGCAAGGGTACGACCAAGCTGGTTGGGCCGTACGACGAGGTGAAGCTGCGGGACCTGCTGCATGAGCGCGGCATGTACCAGGACATGGTCTTCGAAGGGCCTGACGAGCCCGAGTCGCTGGCCGACGAGTACAAGCCGCCCAAGGGCTGGCCCCAAAACAACGACAACTGGCGGTGCGATGGCATGTTCATCGTCGCTGCCCAGCGCGAGGAGGAGCTGGAGGCCACGATCAAGGACCTCAAGAGCAACTTCGGCATTACCGGCAATCCGCAAGTGGATAAGGACCAGGCCAGCGTGGAGATCACGCTGACCAAGATAGGCCACGTCCGCAATGCCGATGGCAAGGCGCAGCGGAGGGGCCAGGAGAACCTCCGGGGCAAGGAACAGTGAGTGTTGCCAATGGGCGCCTGCAGAAGACTTTCCTCGCTCACCCGTTTCCCTCAGTTTTGGCTTCGAAGATCAGATTTCCCAGCCTGCCATCCAAGGTCTGGATCCGCCGCCCAAGGAGGGCGAGCCCCCGGCGACTGCTCCGGGGTAAGTCGCAGCCCCAATCCACCAATCGAGGTCGGGATACTGACCCCCTTTGCCAGCGTGATTTTCCTCAACCGCACCGGAGACAACACCAAGTCACCGGAGTGGGCCACGGACGGTAGTTATCTGGCATTCCGTGAGATCGAGGAGAATGTGCACGAGTTCAACAAGTACGGTTTGCTCTGGTTCCCCCCGTATGAGAGAGTCGAGCTGATGTGGTCCTACAGGTTCGTGAAGGAAGAGTCCAAGAAATTGGAATCCTTCGACGACGGCACCGGTGACAAGCTGGCGGCTTATATGATCGGACGATGGAAGAACGGTAGGCATGGTCCTGGCCCCCGTCACGGCGGACGACGCTCATGATGCCTGCAGGGTCCCCCATCGCGCTAGACAGCGAGGACTCGGTGGCCCAACATCCCTTGGCCAACAACTTCGAGTACAAGTATCACTATAACACCCCGAAGGAGCTCAAGTGTCCGATTGCCGCGCACATCCGCAAGATGCGCCCTCGTGCCGACCTCTTCATCTCGAAGGATGGTGACATGCACGTCTCGGCCGGGGACAACTACTGGAACAACACCAACGTAATCCTGCGTCGCAGCGTCACCTTTGGCCCGGAAATCGAGGAGGGCGAAGAGGATAAGCCGCGTGAACAGCAACCCAAGCGAGGCATTTACTTCATGTGCTACCAGGGCGACTTCCGCAATGGCTTCAACTTCCTGACGAGTCGTAAGTTTCCCGTCACCCCCCTGACCAACCCCGTCCGACGCTCACATCACCAGGCTGGGCCAGCAACGAGGTTTTCGCGGGCAAGCAGGGGCTGGACATGGTCCCTGGCCAGGACCCCATTGTCAGCCAGCGCAACCGCGCCGACCACCCGATGCCCAAGTTCGGCATCTACAACGGGGACAAGGCCGAGCAGCTGAAGTTGGGCTATCTGCCGTGGATCGACCAGCGGGGGGGGGAGTATTTCTTCACGCCTTCGATAAAGGCCTTGCAGTCGGTGTTTGTGGACCCGGTGGAGTAGGATATACCAAGTCTTTAGGAGCAGGCATGCAATCAACCCGGTCTTGAAAGTTATCTCTTTTCTTTGACTTCGTAGCCTGACATGTGCCGGGTCGCTCGCCACCAGATCGCTTTTGTTCGTAGTGGGTCAGTCAAGGCCAATCGGACTGGACGCTGTGGCGCTGCACAGCCCAGTGGCAGCGCCAAAGAGTCAAGTATTCACGAGACTCATGTCTCCCGGATGTATCACTGCAAAGTAGGCAACTTTGGATGAGCTGGATTGAAAATCGGAGGCATGAACTTCCATGGAATCGGGAGACATGCGTATAACGCGGTCGCCAAATTCAGTGCCCTGCACGCCAAGCAAGGGGTGCTGTTCATGAGCATCTGCCCGGCCACTATGCCGATGGTATGTCGATCTTTACCCTCGAGACGATCGTGGCTGACCACCTCCAGCCACCGAAGAGGAGATGAAGGGCTTGATATAGAAGACTAGTAAAGTTAACAATATGGTGTTCAAGTAACTGCATATAACAAATTCTGGATGGTGTATCTAAGATTCATGACTATCACCACAATCTCACCGGATATTCAAGTCCTCACTCAATGTGACGCTTCTTTCAATCTCTGCAGCAGCCTCTCTATCCTCTCGTCCTTCCAGTCAGCCCAGAAAACCCTACTAGCCCAGAGTGATTTATCCTTTGCCAAATAAGCCATGTCCACCGGGGTGTTGGCTCCCTCATCTTGAGACTTCACATTTGCCAGGGCTCCCCGTTCCAGGAGAGCTTCGATCGTCTCCCAGTTGCCATTGTCTGCTGCCCAATGCAGGGGCGTGCGACCATTGTCGTTTCTAGCGTTGATGTCCGCGCCAGCATCGAGTAATATCCCAACATTTTCCGGGGTGCCCCTTGATGCAGCCGAATGGATTGGTAAACTACCGTTCAAGAGCCTTGCATTCGTGTCCGCACCGTGTTTGTGGAGAAGTGACTTGATCCCGTCTGATGTGCGACAAGCAGCCGCAACATGCAAAGCACTGAAGCCTTCAGAGTCCTGATCATTTAATTTTGAACCCGCTTCCAAGAGCGAGTCGATAATTGCGGGGTTGCTAGACTCTGCTGCAACGAGGAGAGGGAACAATGGCTTCCCATTTTTCACGATGGTGCCTCTTTGATTTGGATCGGCACCTCTGCCCAGCAGAGCACTGATAAGGTCGGAGTTTTGATCTCTTACCGCATACAAAAGAGGTGTGCCGACTGTGTCGGGCGAACTCGGTGAGACCATTGCGCCATGTCGCACCAGGAGCTCGGCTATATCTCGATTGTTTGCCTTGACTGCCAGAGTCAGTGCTGTCTCACATAGCGGATCAGTGGACCACCAGCGACAACAGTCTGATGAAGCGTGGGGTCCCGTGAAACAACGCTCGTCGGCTGCCTGAGGGCAGGCATTGACATCAGCCCCACGCTGGATTAGCAGCTCCACAACGAGTGGCCGAGTGGCGGCAACAGCATAAAGCAGAGGCGGCGTGTCTTCAGGTCCAGGGTTGAGCTGATCCTGCAATCCGTTGTCGAGCAAATATGTTACGATAGAGACTGAACCACCCCATGCGGCCGCTCCCAATATGGAGGTCTTATCATCGGGTTCTCGGCGATGAATATTCGCTCCTCTATCCATAAGCAACTGGAAGGCCCAAAGATCGGCTTCCTGAACGGCGTTTTGTAAGCTTCCATGTGTATCTACCCCGTTCTGCAGGAGGATATCAGCAAGATCTTTCCTCTTCTGAGATAGAGCGCTTCGTAGAGCCCATCGGGCATCCACTCTGGCGCCTGCATTGATCAAGTCTTGGGCGAGCTCAAAACTCCCTGTGTCTACTGCAGCTTTCAAAGGCGTCGAATAGCTTGACACCAGGTTGGGATCTGCTCCACGAGATAGCAGCTCATGCACAATCGCAGTATGGCCGCCTTCTATCGCCGATTGGAGAGCTATTGGGTGATCCGAGGAGCATTCCGCGTGGCTGTTGACGTCGAGACCCTCGTCTAGATACTGTCGTACAAGCTTCTCGTCACCTGCTCGAGCTGCGTATCTTAATGCTTCATCTCTTGTAATTCCATGGGCTAGCAACTCGCGCAATATGTCGACGTGGCCGCCAGCCGCGGCCTGATACTGGGCGGCAGTAATGCCACTTTGGACGGATCTAATAAGTGCCGAGATCCCGTGCTTCATTCCCCTTGCGGTTGTGATGCGCTCACACCCCAGCAATGTCTTCACGATGTCAAGACGGCCACTGCAAACTGCAACCACTAGGGCCGATGGAGGGTTTCCTTTAGTGTGGTGGTAGTCATTAGCTCCTTTATTGAGTAGAGTTTCACAGACAGGCAAATGGCCACTAGCGACGGCGAGATATAAAGGATCAGACCTCTGGCCGCTGGAATCCCATGGGTTTGGGAAGTTGACCTTGGCACCAGCCTCTAGCAGCGTGAGAGCGACATCTAGATGACCTTGGGCAGCTGCTGCACCAAGTGCCGTACTCAGAGCACCGCCTTTTGCGTTGACTTCGGCCCTTGCCTCTATCAGTAAGTGCACTATTTCCAGGTGGCCCATGCACGCGGCTGCTTGTAATGGACGGTGGTACAAGCCGCCGGAGACATTTGGCGACGCGCCTTTGTCGAGAACTGCTTTCACCACTCGTGTCAAACCACAGTAGGAAGAGTAATATAGTGCTGTGTAGTCATTGGTATCGTTAAATTCACCCCGCAGCCATGGTCGGTCAACATTTGCCACTTTGCTCCATAGCCTAAAATAAGGCCCATCTTCGTCAAACAGATCGAGTAAAATAGACTCTAGCTCATTGCATTGCCAAGCGCCCTGAGAAAGGTCTTTATGCACATACCAAAAGTGCCCTGCATAGCGTGCCAGCGGATGATAAATCCAGAGGTCGCCGGCGGCAGACTGAACCGCATTGTGAAAGTACGCAAGGCTACAGTTAGCCAGGACCGCATGAGACAAGCTGATGTCCATGAAGAAGTCGGAGCACGAGCCTCGCAAGATTACATCGGAAGCGAGAAACTCTCGAACGGTGAAATGGGCCAGCTTGACATACACATCCTGGGTGCCACTCGTTTCGTCTCCACCGCAGTAAGTCGAGACAAGACTGGAGCAGGAATCAATGAAGCCTTCTGGGTCGAGAAGCTCTAAGTCCTCGTCAAAAAAAGGATTGCCTTCATCATCGGCATTAACAGCTATGGCGCTTGTGACCTCATCAAGAGATAGCTGCAGATGCGTTAGAGTGGGAATGATTCTTGACTTCCAAATGTGATGACCACTCACCGGCCGAAGAGCAAAGGCTACCCAGCGTAGAAGGCTCTTCACGGACATGCGATTGCTCTCATCTATTTTGTCGATTACCATGGTGTAGTGTTCCTCCAATGACTTTGGTAGATCTTTCAGAGCTTTTTGCACCGCCTGTGGTGTCGCACACCGTCGCAGTGTCTGCAACTGGCAGTCCACCCAACGAAATCTGAAAAGGTGTCAGCCATTCAGCAGTACTATTGATCAAACTGAGTACGTACGATCCATTGGCTTGGGCCAAGAGAGACTCTTCAATCTTCTTCTTCAACGATATTGGCCACCGGGTAAATTTGGCCTCATGCGACAACTGGTGTCGCAGTGCTGTCTGTATATCAAGATCAACCACTGAGTCATCAATTGTAATGGTGGAGGTCTTGAGGCCTTCGAAAGCATTTCGAAGCTGCTCCAAGTTTCGGCCGGCCACAATCAAATGCCGTTGGCCATGTGTCTGCTTCATCGTCTCCTTAATGAAGTCCGTAATTCCGGGAATTCCGCCCTGGAGGTATTCCTCGCATTCGTCGAGACCATCGAGAACAATGTAACTATGCTCGAAATGCAGTGAGAGGTCTTGCACTATTTCTTTCCATGGAACTGACTGCTGCTTGTTGGAAAGACTGCTATACATCCTCTCCCTTCTCATGATGGAATAGGCAGGAAGGGTTGCCCCTTGATGAAGTAGCTGCCTGGCCAAGGATCCATACACGCGGTTGATGTCGACTCGTCTTTCTTCTGATGCATCCATAAAGAAATAGCATAGGCTGCTATACTGGTCTCCGCTACAATATTCCTCAAGATCCTTGATGATCTTCGAACTGTCAGTAGTCAGCGCATCAATTCAACATGGCTACAAAGACACTGGTCGACTTGATTCAATAAGGTGCTTACGTACCATAGGACGGTTTTACCACACCCAGCTAAAGCCGGGTGGTCAGTGGTCGATGAAGCTCAGTGCTGAGTGCATCACTTACCAGCTCCCCTGATCCACAAGAAATCGTTGGGGTTGGTCTTCCATTCCGTGTACTGCGCTGTGTTCAATAGCCAGTCACCAGTAGCTGGAGCACATTTTTGGTACTCTTGCTCTTGCTTGTCTGATTGACTGCGTCCTCCCAGCTGATTGAAAAGCTCAGCGATTTGATGATCTAAGACTGTCAATAGCGGTTTTATCAACTTCTGAATCTCATCCTACCCTCGTTAGATCGAGCCACACTCTCCGAGAGTCTAGTAATCTTCTTCTCAACACTCGGCAACGACCGGGTGAGGCTTAATACCTCCATCATGTTTTGACTAGACGAAACGTCAGCAAGGCCACGGGTATTCTGTCACGAACCACTCACACGTTGTCAGCCGCCAGTGCCAATTGCAGCGTGCTCTTGATGGTCGCAAGAACTTGCAATCTTGTTTCCGCGTCTGCACGTTGCAACGGCCACGCCAGAGCACGCCTCAAACTGGAGGTTTTCCCCAGTTTCAAGCTTGCTTTCAGGTCCTGCAATTCGACCAAACACCTGCGGAGAGTGCCATCATCCCCATCCATCGCCTGTAAAGACGGCAAAGACAAGGCATCGTCCAACTCAACGGCCTTCACTAATTGCTGTGCGATGCTCCCAACACTGGTGATCTCGTCCAGAATCCGAGAGATATCTTTGGGGGCATTTCGGACGCCCATGCGGTAGTCATAGCACACCGACACCAACTTACCACATACCTGGACGATGGCGATGAGAGTGCCTACAAGGCCGATCGGTTCAATCATACTGAGTGCGCATGAACACGCAAATGAGAATCAAGGTTGCTTGAGACGGTCTACTCTTGAGCATTGAAGATACCATTTGATGTATGAGCTGGCGGAGGGGCACGAGGCTGTGGATTGGGCCTCAGCCACTCATGTCAGAATAAACTAGTCCATATATGGATATTATATAGGCTGTCTTCACAGGCGCTTTGAACAAGGAACATCTTTATTGATCTATATAATCAGTATCGAGTCCAGTCATGTGCTCACCCAGCAAACATAATTCTGGTAGCCTGCACCACTACATACCGTTATTTTCTTACTCTGCGACATACGGCTACTCTTTACCGCGAATCTGAACCCACACAAAGACAACAAAGCTACCTCTACCTCCACCGATAAATATTAGAATTTCCATGTTTTATCTGTCGCAGACACATTTGCCAACTAGTATCGAGGCCAATTCAGGACATATCAATTCAGATGTACTGCAGTATGAAATGTATCTCGTGGGAAATTTATGACTCTGTCAGGTCGGTAAGGATTGCGCACAAGCCCCTTGTGCTTTGGGGATGTGTAAAGCCCCCTTATCTGGAAAAAGAGCAAAAGCATGAGAAAGCCAACCCAGAAGGTTGGTGCTCTTACGCATATGTGGACGATGGGTTCACAACCTAGTACCTGGTACCTCCCTCCCTACTGACCTATACTGATTCACCAGACAGTCCGAGGCCAAAGCCCCCCACCCCCCCGATACCTCCGAGAGTTGCAAGCCACGGAGATGATTATAGGGCGGGCGCTGCTTGATACCTACTTAGCTCATCTGCAAACTTCGGTGGTGTGACTGACTTGGGAAGGCCCGTGACGGACCTACTAATCAACTGACAGTCGAAACTCCGCCCCCTGTCCTAACTATCAAGACGCTCAAATTACGCGAATTGAGGCCGATCCTTCCAAGCCCGGCGGTATCAGAACGGATACCGTTAGAGTATTGTATCGCGACAAGTGGTATTTGCGCCGCAGGGGGAAAGAAGGACTGGCATGGTTTATTCTAGTAGTTACCAGGTAGATACCAAGATCTGCCGCATCATGGTGAAACTGGGGAGATCCATTTCCAGACATCGAGTGTCGTTGAACGGGCCGATCAACCGAAACGGCGCCCAGAAAGACAAACCAAAACACGTGTCGATCCTCATCTAATGGAGTTCTAAAGCTGTTTGGTGAGTGGTGGATGGAATGGAGGAAGTACTCCAGATTCCTTATTCTGTTTGGGACAGATGCGGTATAGTGTGCCTAATCAGGGAAAGTGCATCAGCTGTTGCTGAGCACCATGGTGCGTGGACTATAAAGGTGGAGATGGCCATCATTCGACGTTCTTTTCGCGTCATGAAAATGCTTTACAACAGAAAGAGAACAATAAGAGGCTGCGGAGGAAGAGAATCAACAGAAGAAGTCAGACGAAGATGACCTCCATGGGCTTGGCGTTTCGTGGAAGATGTTTCCCACAACCTCTTCCTGCGTTGATAGATTTTACGATACCATATACATTACGTGCGTGAGAGAACGGTTTGCCTGTATTCATTATGGACTTGTTGACTAGAATACTCTTTCAAACGAGCAACCAAAGTTTTAACAACCTCTCTAATGAACACTGGGGTTGCGGAAATCCAGGGCGAGAGGAGAGTCTTCTTTGCGCCCCCCAAGCAGCCAAGCTTCTCCTTCTGGGACCCTGACGTCAGTAGATATAGGTGAATACCTCATCATTTGTAACTGTTAATCAAGGCTCTATTAGGGTTACACTTCCGCAATAAAGTTACTGCTTCTACTCAGGCACTCTATTTCACTGACCTGAGAGATTTTATAGTGAATTATTTGCCATTGAAAGAAAGTGTCTTAGTAGAAGACAGCCTAATTAGAGATGAAATCGGTTACCAGGCTGAAGTATTCAAGGATATTATCCCATTCCCTTCTCCCTCTTCATCTGTTACTGCACATCTTCCAATTCTCAGGTCTTTTGTCTGTCATTCGAGCACCTTCAACCATTCTCTACCTTTCATAGTTTGGCCTGTTTTCTCAACATTGCCATAAGTCTGACGAGGTTCAATCTGACCTGATTATTCGCTAAGACAACTGAACCATATTTGGGCCAAGTCCTGTTCCCAAGTCCTATCGCGCAGTTCCTCCATCGCCATCGTGTCTCTCTTCCCTCCCTTCCTTGACCTTCGCCAAGGGACTGAGCAGAATCCCATCCCACTGTGGCATTTACCTCTGTCCCGATCCTTACTTCGGCCTTCACCAAGGGACTCAGCAGTAGCTGATCCCACTGCGGCTTCACGAAGAAAGAATGGACAATCTTTTTAGCAAGCCAGATTCGGCCGTCAAATTCCCAGTCAAGTCCATCAGATGCCATGACTCGGAAGGAATCCTTGAGATGGCCTAACGAATTGCAACCGATCCCCCAATCAGCTTGCTGCTGTCTTCGTCAACAGTGAGGCTCCGCCAGGGTTTTTCCCAACCAAGGACGCAATCGCTCTTTCTGGAGCGTCACGTTCCACATATCCAATATTCACATTGTATCGCTAGAGACAGCAAAGGACGGGCTCATCTTCACGTTTGAGTCCAGCTCTGACTTCGCAAGCGCCGCTGATATTGAAAATGAGAAGCCCTTCTAGAGCCATCCACGTATCCACTTGCGGTAGTGAACTTGCTCAATAAGGTTATGCAGATAACTTTAGATTTACCCAATCCTAAGCTGTGGGAAATGCAGTCCGACCTAGTTTGTCAGACCCTCCGTGGGGGTAGTCTCACCCTTTCTCAAGCGGAGAGTGAGTATGTCGATATCAACAACCGGGCTATCATCAAAGAGGCCGAGGAAGAAGAAAAATGTCTCGCTGGTTATGGATGCCACGTAAAACGCGTCTCAGTTGCGGGACGAATCATATTGGGAATCTAGCCTAGTGAGGACCGTCCGTTTCGCCTCTACAGAGGCTGCACCTTGGTGTTCCGTGGAGGGCACTTTTTCCTCAAAGAATTGGCGAGGCATTATCAAATTCCTGGCGATAAGGGGACCCCGATAGAATGGATGGCCTCGGTATCAGGTGGCGCCCCCAAGTGGAGATCGTTGATCGACGCCCCTGTACATGCGGTCCTCAAGAACGAAATAGACATCAAAATTTTTGGCCATAATTTTGGCTCTGCCGGCTGCCTCCAGTCAACGAAGCGGACCAATGTGATGTTGTCCAGGGCCCGTGTTGCCCAGTACGTTGTGGGTAATTGGGACTGGGTCGTGGACAGGAGCTTCGCCAAAGTCTCCGGCAAATTGAACGCCTATTTTGATGAGGCAGATCTTGTCCTGGACAAGCGGACCGATTATGCCATTGCCCCGACGGTAGGGTAGATGATGGCTTTCTGTCATGGGTTCGGTGGGAGGTCAAATCAAAGGCCACGCACGAATTACCCATAGTTAGCCTAAATGGCGATGGTGGGGGGTTTAGTTTGCCGCCACCCTGGACAAGGGTTGTCGGGCTGGCATTGCAGGACTGCTCCATGATCTAAGCGCCAAAGTTGCAGATCTGTCTGACCTCTGAACAGTGGTTTGATCTTAGCCCGACCAACCTTGGCTAGGATCAACCTAAGTATAATAATTTATCAAAGGGGGGTGACCTTGTAGGTAGGTATCCCGCCATCGTTATATCATCGTTTCAAGGAGTACAAAAGTGCAGAGATCTAACCATTCACAGCCACTGAAAATCTTCGACTAAGAGCCACCAGGTGTCGAGAAACCATGGAGTTTCCCGAACCCCACATCCATCACCCCCAAAGCACTCACACCCACACGGCGATCTTGCTCCACGGTCGAGGGAGCGACGGCCCCGAATTTGCCGAGGAGCTCTTCTCCTCTATGACCTTCAAGAATCAAAACGTCGCCTTGTGTCTCCCTAACTGGCGCTGGGTATTCCCGACATCCCGTGACCGATGGGATACCCGATTCCAAGAAGAGATGTGCGCATGGTTCGACGCATACTCGTTGACCGACGTGCAGGAGCGACAAAATTTGCAAATCGATGGCTTGAGAGAGTCAGTCTTACACATTGTGGATATCCTGGAGAATGAAATTCGACTGCTCGGTGGGAAACATCGCTACGTCTTCCTGGGAGGGATTAGCCAAGGGATGGCGACTGCGCTGTGCACGTTATTCTGTGCGACAGGCACAGGACGCATCCAGGGGCAGCTCGGTGGTTTTCTGGGGTTCTGTGGCTGGTTGCCGTTTGTTCGGCGGGTGGGGGATTTGGTTCGACAACCACAGGAAACCAACACCCTCAGTCTTCCCGGCGGGGCTCGAGCTAAGCGCCTAGTAGCTGACTTTTACTTGGATACGATCTTCGGCAGTCCCGACATGTCGTCGGTAAAGGAGGTTAATGATACGTCTATCCTGTCGACCCCCGTGTTTTTGAGCCACGGAACCGACGACGCGTGGGTGCCTGTGGAGCAGGGTCGACAGGCGGCTCAGATCTTACAGCAGATCACGATCCAGGTTGAATGGAACGAGTTCAGCGGGGCGGAGGGGGACGGGCACTGGATCAAGGAACCTGAGGGCTTCGACCAGGTCCTCCAATTTGTGGAGAAACAACGCGACCGGAATCAGACGGAGAGTCAATAGTTCAGTGCTCCGTACGGAGTAATGGGTATAACCATATGGTGGACGTTGGACTATGGGGACTAGTCACAGGGGAAAAGACCGGGCGCAGGCCGCGAACCCCCCTGATCTACCTCGGAAGCAGGATACAATACTTCCTAGTTCCTAGGGAGAACGCTATGGGCTGATAGACCGGTATAGCACGTCCATCAAGAGTCCCGAGGTTCCGGAAAGTTGGAACCGTTCGATACGTGGACAGTTTCATCAGGGCTATGGCTATTTTTCCAAGATTTGCGGTGGGTTTTTGTTTTACTATTTTAGTTAAGGTACTTTGTTCATGACCGTTGAGTTTTGACAGGCCTCAAATGCAAGCTGGATGGCTCGACCCTACCCTGCAGCCTTGCACACATCATTCGATGGATCTATCTCGTTGACTTGTGATCAATCTTCCGAGGATGTTGTTTGATGTTTGATGGTTTTATTTTTTTTTTACTGTCGCATCCTCTTCCCCGTGGTGTTCCGTTCATATGCCGGAGGCCGACTGTCAGCCGAGTGAGATCTACGGGAATTGATTATTTGTGGAGGATGATTCTGGTAGTACCTATTATAGAGTGTTAAAGACAGACTGAATCCATTTCCCACTTATATAAACACGGAGTGAGAAAGTATCTCCCTGAAGGATGATATCACGGGGCGGAAAAAGAGAGCTGCAGCTGTCAAATTTGTCCCCATGCGAGGTCAGTCAATACCGGTATGGGGTGTATTACTCTGTATTATGTGGATAATCCTGAGTGAAGTAATAATAATATGGTTATTATTATTTTATTATTATAGAAAATGATAGTAATAATACTATAATATAATAATAATAATATGGTTCCAGTTTAATGTGGGGTTGTTGGACCGGAGGGACGGGAAGTCGAGGTCGAGACTCGGGATTGATTCTCGTTCTTCTGTACCTATTTGTCTGAAGAGTTTATCTTATTCATAGAAAGAAATAAAAAGAAGGTGAGTACGAAGAGGAAGAAAAGAAGTAGTCAATCCATTTGATTGCTACTGAATTTGAACTACAGCGCCACGGTGACGGTGACGGTGACGGTGACGGTGACGGTGACGGTGCCCGTTGTGCCCATGCCATGCCAAAGAGTCAGAGACGCCTCCCGTCCTCCCCCTAGTATAGCGTCTACTCCACACCAGTTCTTTAGTTCCCGGTCTATATCGTAGCGTGTCCCGATAACTCCAAGTAGTAAGATGGTCAACGCGCATGTTTTTTAGTTTCTAGTTTCGAGTCTTTGGTTTTAGTTTTGGTTTTAGTTTACCCTACTGGTGGCCACTGGCACATCCACATTTACATCAGCTAGATGACTTGAACGGAAACGGGCCGGGGGCCCTAGTGGCAGTTATGTCTTCTGTATTCTCTCTCATTGGAGTCTTCTCCGTCCGGGAGTTTCAGCAGAACTGACAGGCTAAGTGAACGCTGAACCCCTGGAGATCACTATATGGGGTGTGTCATAGACATCATCCGGATCCCTGTATAATTGTCATTTGATATATTTACAATATATACGGAGTACATACGGAGTATCTATTATTTGCTCTTGTTTGTTGTATCATGATAGCCAAGAGTAAGACGTGCGAAGAGGGAATCAGAATATAATCACAATATGGTATTGACAGGATACGGTAACAAATTAGAAACCCGACAGATACTATCGATACCACCATCAACCATCAATTTAATACCAGTCATGATGGAGCCCGGGCCCGTGAGTGTAATCTAACCGGGTCTGGTTAGTGTAATACCACATGTATTGTATGATACGTACGGGATAACTGACCTTCTTTCATAAAACTCCTTCTTCCCTTCCTTTTTCCCTCTCCTTTCCCCATGACTCTTGTTCATTCTTGACTTCATATGAAATCTTGTTTAGATGATATTTGAACCTTATATCTCTATCCACTAAATAACAAGACATTTTTTGTGTCCGACAGGATCTCGTGTTTTGTTGCCACCGCTTTGAATTCACACCAGTACTGATCGCGTACTCGCCCCTGCCACCCACATAAGGGAGCCTGAACCCCCTAATACTGCAACTGGACTTTATCTCTCTCCTCCTTCTCCGCCGCCCGCCCGCTTCTTGAACCCGCACAATTCGTTCCCCCTCCTCCTCCTCAACCACCCCAATCCTCCGACTCTCTACCCCCGATCGTCAACCACACGTCTTTTCTTCCTTCCTCTCCTTTTATTTCGGTTTCGCATGGTTTCACTCGACATCCTTACCGTCTGTGGTAAAGTACTGGTCTCTCTAGTCATGAACAACGCGCTCTCTTGAGTTGCTTTCAGCCCATCACTCGCAGGGGACGCCCGTCATTCGTGTATTATTTCCTCCCATTGAATTACGATCCTTTTGTCCCTGGAGAGAAACCCCAAAAGATTCATTCACCAACAGCAAGGGAGCGGATTTCCATATCGCTCAATACCCCCATGTACGAGATCGGTGTGGCCGAGTCTTCACCCGCTGACGGGTCCGCGATGGCGGCTAAATCCACACCTTTTGCGACCGCGGTCGAGTACAACGACGACCACGCGGCCGCCAATCCTACGGGCGCTCTGCGGAGCCGCAGTCGGGGCGATAGCCTCTCCATGCACCAGAACGGTTTTGCGGTCGATCAATCCCCCCAACGACACCAATCGCCCATGGTCTTGACGACCGGTGGGCGCTACACGCCCAGCCCCGAACCCGCCCCGGCGCTGTTCGTGCGGGCCATGTACGACTACGATGCCGACGACCCGACTAGTCTGAGCTTTCGTCGAGGCGATGTGATCCAGGTGCTCAATCAGCTCGAGACCGGATGGTGGGACGGTGTCATTAACAACAACATTCGGGGCTGGTTCCCGAGTAATTACTGTGCCGTTATCGATGACCCCAGCGAACTGCAGGATCACATTCCGCTCGACCTTCACGAGATGGGCGATGGACACGCTAGTGCCGACTCCGGGGCCGGCGAGGCTTATGACGACGGACACGACGATGACGAGGTGGACTCGGTGGGCAACCCGCGCGATTCGGCTCCCATCCTCCCCATTGAGGGGACCGTTGCCCCGAAGGAGCAGGAGGAGGCCGCCTTCTGGATCCCGCAGGCCACCCCCGACGGACGGTTGTTCTACTTCAACACTCTCACCGGCTACAGCACCATGGAATTGCCCTTCGAAAACCCGGCCGCGAATGAGACCGGCCCCTACGATCGCAATCATTTCTTCGTGCCCGACCAGACCCGGCCCCCGCCCGAGCTGATGGCTCGCGGCTTCGAGCGTGACGAGGACGAGTACGACGGGTCGGCGTCCGAGGCTGAGGGGGAGTCTTTGATGGTGGCCTCTCACGATTCCATGTCCCGCCGGCGGCAGTCGTTCATGGATGGCGTATCGCCCGCAACGTCCATGGACTCCCTGCACCCCCCGTCGACGATGGCCAAGGCTACGGGCCACCACTCGAATCGCAGCCAGCCCAAGATTTACGCCTCCCATGGCCCCAGCAACAGCACCACCTCGCTCTCCGAAACCTACCACCGGCCCTCCGTCTCCTCCGAGGTTCCCTCCCATTTTGTGGACGATGCGGCCTCCACCCCCCTGACCTGGCCGTTGCTCGTGGACAATATGCACCATGCGATCGAAGCGTATCGCCAGACGCTGTTGAGCGGCGACCGCTCCGAGTATGTCCGGAAGGCGGAAGATATTTCCGACCACTTGCGCATGCTACTGGCCGCGGGGTCCGACACCACCGACAACCACTCGGGGAACCCGTCCATCATCTCCACGAACAAGGCTCTGTACCCTCACTTCCGGGATATGATGTCCAAGTTCTCCAAGCTGGTGCTGTCGTCTCACATCGCCGCGGCCGACTGGCCCGGCCCGGACTCCGCCCACAAGTGCCTGCAGGAAGCAGATGGCGTGATGCATGGCGTCTACGGATATGTGGATGTCGCGCGGAAGCAGCGCGGCGAGGCGATCCACCGCGTGGTCCCCGGCTTCGTGATGGGTAGTTTCGCGGGCGGTTGCTGGCAGAGCAACGGCGTGTCGCTAAACGGCTCAGGCCCGACCTCGTTCTTGGACCAGGACCCCGAGGACTCCCGCGCCGAGCCGTCCACGCCCCTCGACCTCGCCGTCTTGGACCATATTGACGTGCTCCGGAAGGCCCTCGTGGGCAGCATCCGTCGCCTAGAGGAGCGCTTGACCCTCAACCAGAAGAAGATCGTCACCGCCATGACCCACCGGGAGATTGGCGACTCCGTCTCGGCGGCCGCCATCAAAGTCGTCGAACAATACCGTCCGTGGGTCTCGGCCGTGGAGTCGGTCAACCTGGCTCCGCTGGGGACCAGCTTCCAGAACCCGCAGCTGGTCGATTTCGGCCTGCAGAAACAACGGGTGTACGATGCGATCGGTGACTTTGTGCTGAGCTGTCAAGCGATCGCGGCTCCTCTGGGTGATGAGTGGGCCGAACTGCGGGGCGACTCGCTGGACGACCGCCTGAACGCCGTCCGCGGCGTGGCCCGTCAGCTGGAGAATTACGTCTCCCAGATCGGGTTCTCGCTCTCGCTCCTCCTGGAGCAGATCCCCGAACCGGCGACCGTCTTGCGCAGCGACAGCCGCTTGGGTGACAATCCCGAGGGACCCAAGGCCCAGCACGGCCGCGGGGAATCGAAATCCGGCAACGGCCCGATGGGATTGCCCTCGTCCTTCTCCCCCGAGCCGCCATCGGATAAGGTGCGACGCAACATGAACAAGGCACAGCGGTTCTTCGGGCAGGCCCCGCCGACGGCCATCACCCGGGAACCGATCCGGGAACCCGTGCGCGAGCCCGAGGAGACACCCTGGTACCTGAAGATGGACCACGAAGGCGAGGTGTTCTACGACACCAAGAACGACGTGCCGACCCTGAAATGTGGCACCCTGGGTGGTCTGGTGGAGCACTTGACCCGACATGACAAGCTGGACGCCTCGTTCAACAACACCTTCCTCCTGACCTACCGTTCCTTCACTACGGCCTCGGAGCTCTTCGAGATGCTCACCCAGCGATTCAACATCCAGCCGCCGTTTGGCTTGAACCCGGACGAGATGCAGATGTGGGTGGACCGGAAGCAGAAGCCCATTCGATTCCGTGTCGTCAACATCCTGAAGAGCTGGTTCGAGCACTTTTGGATGGAGCCGAGCGATGAGACCAACATGCAACTCCTCGACCGGGTCCATTCCTTTACCCGAGATTCGATCGCCACCACCAAGACGCCGGGTTCTCCCCAGCTCCTGACCGTCGTCGAGCAGCGTATCCGGGGCCAGGACACCACCGCCAAGCGGCTGGTTCCCACGCAGGCGACCGCGGCTCCGACCCCCATCATCCCGAAGAACATGAAGAAATTGAAGTTCCTCGACATCGACCCGACCGAGTTCGCTCGCCAGCTGACGATCATTGAGTCGCGCCTGTACTCCAAGATCCGACCCACCGAATGCCTGAATAAGACGTGGCAAAAGAAGGTTGCGCCAGGGGAGCCCGAGCCGGCGTCGAACGTCAAGGCCCTGATTCTGCATTCGAACCAATTGACTAACTGGGTGGCCGAGATGATCCTCGTCCAGTCCGATGTCAAGAAGCGTGTGGTGGTTATCAAACACTTTGTGAACGTGGCAGATGTATGTTCCCTTTCTCTATCCTGCTTTCGCTTCCGATGGTAGATGACTCACTGCTAACCGATGGACTCCTAGAAATGCCGGAGTTTCAACAATTACTCCACCCTTACCTCTATCATCTCAGCTTTGGGAACGGCACCGATTCATCGCCTGGGTCGGACATGGGCTCAAGTCAGTGGACGCACGTCTGCCATTCTCGAGCAGATGCGCCGGCTCATGGCCAGCACCAAGAACTTTGGCGAGTATCGTGAGACGTTGCATCTGGCGAATCCGCCCTGTATCCCATTCTTCGGTATGCTGTTATGGCCGATATAACATATATCCTAGTCGATCCCTAGTTTGATCGAGAAACTAATGACTCCTCTTTCCGTCTTAGGTGTTTATCTGACCGACTTGACATTCATTGAAGACGGTATCCCATCGCTCACGCCGTCGGAGCTGATCAACTTCAACAAGCGCGCCAAGACCGCCGAGGTCATCCGTGACATCCAACAATATCAGAACGTGCCGTATCTTCTTCAGCCAGTTCCGGAATTACAGGACTACATCCTCAGCAACTTGCAGGCAGCCGGAGATGTCCACAACATGTACGATCGGAGCTTGGAAGTAGAGCCCAGAGAGAGGGAAGACGAAAAGATTGCGAGGTATGCTATTTCCGGTAGAGAGATGAGTACCTTGACTTTCGCGAGCCTGGTCCTGTCGTCGCGATGATCCAGATTGCTTATTTTTTTCTTTCTCACCTTTTTCCCTTTTCTTTCATTCAGTTCCTTTCAACTGTTTTCTCGGTCGGCCGGCGATTCCGCCGCGTTCCACCGATAGCCCGCCCTCTTCTTTATCTCTTTGTTTCTCTGTTGTCGAGACATATTGAATCTCGGAGGAATTTTGATTGATTGAGGACTAACCGCTTCTGTCTCCTGCACGTAGACTGCTTTCTGAATCGGGTTTCCTGTAAAGCGACCCACACGCCCCCACTGCCCGACTTTCTCCGTCGGGGCTATCATGTGACACGGCAGACAATCCCTGTCGAGGTTGCATTTGATGCACATTATGACGCGCGAGCCGACTTTGACCGCCAGACCCCCTCGCGGCAAACCGAGATGCACGGAAACGATCGGGCTCGAAGGCGCCCGCGGGGCAATCAACGGCCGGTGCAGGGTGAAACGGGCAACACGGTGCCCTTATCGGGCCCCTAGCATGACGGCGCTTAGGTGGAAACCTGGGTCTACCGTTAAAATCAGCCCGTCGATCGTCGTATGACAGACAACGATCGATCCTGTTCCTTGGACCTGTGCCATGCAGATCGTCGAGATCGGCATTCGAGACGTCCAAATCGGGCCCAATTACGTTAGGGGCTCCTCGGACGACTCACGGATTTGGTAACGGTCGTCCATGCTGTGAAACCTCTTACGTCTCACTTTCTGGACGTGCAGAGGGCCCGTTTGTACCTTGCAGGTGGTTGGAGACAAATTCTCATTCGAAATTGTTCTCTTTATGGAAACCCCTGCAAATTGTTCTCTTTATGGGAACCCCTGCAGGCCAGCAAGTGCTGCGCAGGGCAATGAAAGAAGGGGCTTACACCGACCGACCGAGAGCTTTTGTATTGGGGCTCGAGCGACGCACGACAAAGCTCATTGCATGTGATGGATACGTTACAGCGGACGGGCCGAATGGCATCAGTCTCTTCCTCTCTTTTCCCATCTCGACGACTATAATCTCCTTTATCTACGACCCCGACAAGTTTCTCCCTTTTCTTACGTCGCTCCTTCCGACATCCTATATATCTGCACAAACTACTTCACCCCTGTACAGTGGCAACGCCAGTCTACTTTGTACAAAAAGAGAGAAACAGCACTACATTTGATGTCATCTCCTATTACTTTTACACAGTGCTTATCATATCTTCCACCCTTTTGTGAGCGTTCCTTTTACTGTATCTACGGTTGCATAATGATCTATGACGATACTGGATAGTGTTATATAGTGTTTGGTTTTGATGATGTGATCTGATCTAGTCTTGTATGGATCTGGTTTGGACCAGCTTGGTGTATAGAAATGCTAGTGATTTTGATGTTGTTTTTATGTGGTTTCGAAGGGAGGGATTGGTTTATTCATAGCGTGGACGTGCCTTGACTCCGTAATTGGTCCGATTTGTAGGTTGATCGATGGTCGTTGTCTATGTATAGTAGTCCTACTTGGGTGTTGGGCCCTGCCTGGAAAGCCCACCAGGGTGTGTTAGCTCTTAAGCCAAGTAGGTGGACTATGCTCTACGACAGGCTGACCCTACCGCAGGGGAAGACACCTAGCAAAAAATAAAAAGAAGTCATCTCGTCGTTTCACAGCTAAAGCACGAATCCACCAGCTACGTCTCCGCGCGGCTATCCTCCCCAATCCCCTGGAACAACTTCATCTTCACATCCGCCGCCAACAACCCCTTAACCTCCTCGGAGACAATCCGCTGTCCATCCCGCACGACCTTCTCCAGCTGCGGATCCTTAACGGTCGAGGGTCCTCCGCCGCGCGAAGCGCTATTCTCGATGCCCCGCGTCGCGCGCCGGACCTTCTGGCTCAGATCCATCATCTGCTTGCTGCCGTAGTCGCGCGTCGTGAACAGCGGGCTCTGGCTTAGCGTCGCTACCCAGTACTTGTTCCACAGTAGCGATAGTAGCTCGGCGTCTAGCGAGCTCTTGTAGTATGATACGTCGAGACTGTAGTAATGTGACGCGTGCGCGCCGAAATCCTCGGCCTTGCTCAGCGGCACGGCCTGGTAGTCGTCTCCGCCGTCGGCGTCGCCGGCGCCCTCGCCGTCCTGACCCTGTCCCTCCTTGGAGGAGGAAGGAGGCATATAGTCCTTGGGAAACGTGCGGAACGCACCGATGTCGACCTTCCCCGCGGAGATAGTCCGCTCGGGATCGATCACGACCGCCACGAACGGACCCCCCATCTGCTGCATATCCTGCGTCGACACGTCAATGCCCGACAGCCAGCACCCGTACCCAGGGTGACTGTGGTACCACCCGACGGCGTTCTCCATGCGGCCCGAGTCTCGGCACGCCTGCAGATACGACACCATGTACTCGTTGGCTTCGTCCTGCGCGTTGACCCGCGTCTCGGTGCCCTCGACGGGGAGCCGGAAGGCGTCTGTTACGATGAAGGTCTCGTGCTGCACGTATCCCTGCATCAGACCCATTACTTCGAGGGATCCGCCTGACCGCGCGTGCATCACCATTTTGAGGAGTGCGACGGCGGAGATCCGCACGGATTTGAAGTATTGCGGGTCTTTGGACCATGGTCGCGTGCTGCTTAGTTGAGTGTGGGTTGATTCGTTGTAGCGGTAGAGGGCGTCGCGGTGGGGGTCAATTAGATTGATGGCGTTTTCGAACTCTGTTGGTCTGTTAGTGTTGCTTTTGGGGATGGTTTCATAGGGTGTTTGGGGGATTGTGTAAGTGGGGGGGGGGGGACATACCCCAGGACTGCTGGGCAGCCTGCTGCATGGTGGTGGTTGGTAGATGGGGAATCTATAACTGATTGCGACTGTTTTTCTCCAACGAGGGATCAGATATACAGCAGTCGTTGGGAGGAGTGATGGAGATGGTGTCAACGAGAAGAAGGTGAGATGCGATGCTGTCATTATCAGCATATCAGTCGGTTATCGAGGACAATGCGGTGAAGCAGAATCTGGCAGTACTTGGCGGTGAACTGCTGAGTCATCCGTTGCCTGAGAAACCAGCGCCTGCCGGCCGAATCTCGATTTGCGGCTGCCGTTTCCTGCCTGAGGAGTTCGTCCCATCAACACAACTCAATCCCTCTCGCGCTCTTTCTCTCTCTCCCTCTTATCCACTCTTCCCTCTTCCTCCTCCACTCTTTGTTGATCTATCTCCTTCCTCCTCCCTCTCCCTTACTGGTACCTGCACCTCAAAAGTTGATACATAAATTCTGCGCCTCGTCCGTCGCTACTCCCGCAGATGTCAACCTGTCATCGGCTGTAAATCATCCAACTCAATTCATTGTTGTTTGCTGACAGGCTTGCGATTTGCATTGCGCTTTGTTTGCCTGTCTTGACACCGACCTCACACAGGCGGCTTGGTCGCCAGCGTGTCTTACATGACCTCCGGTCGCTTCTTGTTTATCTCCCCCTTCCTGTGCTGATTCCCCAGCTTCACCGTGGGTAAACAAATCGCTTTTCATACGTCGCGCGCGCCGATCCGTAGGGGTCTCGATTGTTAGTGCGATGGCGGTCGATACGAGCTACTTGACCACCCAGGTCAATAATATTGTCTCGGAGTTGCATGGAATCTTTGATGATATCGGCGTTCCGAATCATGAGCGCGAGTCGCGAGAGGCTGAGGTTCGTTTGTCTTCTTCTATGCCGCTCTTCTCGGTGCTGACGGACGTGGCAGCTCTTTAGTGCTTTGTCGGAAACGCTTAGCAACCACCTCAAGCTCGTGGATGAGTAGGTTGCCCCTGTCTGGTGTAATCCCTTCTCCCCTGCCGCTGCTAACAGTCGCAGTGAGAAACAGGTCATGACCGAAGAAGCGCAAAAGCTCATCACTGCTATACGACAACTAGAAGCTTCGCTGATTGACGAGAAGGCTAATGGCCAATATAATCTCAACGATGCGGACCTGCGCATTAAATATCCCCTCAATCAGTGCCTCAACTTCCTCCGGGAGAAATATGGCGCACTCAGCAAAATGCACAAGGAACGCTTCGAGCAAGTGAGGAGTAAGCTTCGAGCGCCCTGGCAGTGAAACCAATCGGGATCCCACCACTAACCCCTTCTTTAGAGCTTGTCGAGGCCCTCGAATCATACTCTTCTCATCTCGAATCCGCTTTTGTCACCATCGATCTGCCTCCCACGGCACCCGGGTCATCCATCGCGCCCAGCTTTGACCTTTCCCCCTCCTACGTCACGTCTCTGGACAGCGAATTCAGCAGAGTCTACGAAGAATACCACCGGCGACTGGAGTTTGTCCAAACTACGTGCGAGGACATCATTAAGCTGTGGGCTGAACTCGGCACCCCCCAGGTCCAGACCGACTCCAACATTGTCAAATTCTACCGCGAGTCTCCAGAGCAGCTGGGATTGCACGAAACCGACCTCGCAAACCTGATGGCCAAACGCGAAAAGCTTCTGGACGAGAAGAAGGGCCGTGAACGCAAACTGAAGGAACTCCGCATGGCCGTGGAAAGTCTCTGGGAACGATTCGGTGTCGAGGACTGTGATAGAAAGACTTTCCTGTCTGCCAACCGCGGGTGCGGTCTCCGGACCATCAACGAATTCGAGGAGGAACTGGCACGCCTGAATGAGCTGAAGCGACAGAACCTGCACCTGTTTGTGGAGGATGCGCGCTGCCGACTTCAAGAGCTCTGGGATAGCTTGTACTTCTCGGAAGAGGAGATGCTTGATTTCACTCCCGCCTTCTCCGATGTTTACAGCGACGCCCTGCTCGAGGCACATGAAGGTGAAATCTCTCGTCTTGAGGCGCTGAAGGAACAGCGGGCCCCCACACTCCAACTGATTGATAGACACCGGAGCCTCATCTCGGAGCGCGACGCCTTGGCGACCTCCAGCCAAGACGCGTCCCGGCTCATGGCACGCGGAGTCAAGGGAGAGAGACGTGACCCTGGAAAGCTTCTGAGAGAAGAGAAGATGAGAAAGCGAATCGCGAAGGAGCTGCCCAAGGTGGAGGCCGACCTGAGGAAAGAATTGGAGCTGTGGGAGGACGAGTTCGGACGCCCGTTCTTGGTTCACGGAGAGAGGTATCTGGACGACCTCACTCCAGTCATCGCCAAGCCCCCACCGCGATCCAAGTCGGCTGCATCTGGAAGTGTGAGAGGGAGCGCTCAAAAAGCCCAACCACCGGCTCGACCGGCTAGTGTCATGAGAGCCCCCCTGCCGCCTCGCTCCGCCACCAAGACCCCTACCGGACATAGCTCCACGACAAAATACAATACAATTGGACCTTCTCGAGGAGGCGCGAAGTCTCCATCGAAGATCCCCAGTCGGGTCCCCCTGGGAAATATTCCCCATGCGAACAACTCTCCGGACCGACGGGGCGGTCCAGGCACCTACTCTTCCAGTACAATGAACGCGAAGACTCGTGCGCCACCACCACGCATGCGCGCATTGACCGGTGCAGATTCGAAGGACAACAGCTATCTCTTTGAACCCCCGCGATGCGCGAGTGCCCTATCCAACAGCACTTTTGTTCGCCCGGTCAGTCCCGAAGACGTTTACGACGATCGTAACCAGCGGTCGTTTATGAGCTCTTCGATCTTCTCTCAGCGATCTGCCGGTCAGTCATCGCACTCGTCGGCCTCGTCCCTCTCCTTGAACTCGATGCAAGCGTTCCCGCGACCGAACCCATACCTGCAGAATAAACCCCCGCCCCCAGCCCCCAGACAGGTCTCCAACTCCTCGACGATCGACACCGCCAATGGGGGGTCGGAGAATTGGGAGACGTTCGACGACGGGTCCGAGTCTGAAGCCGATGCTAGTGACGTCTACTACGCCAAGGTGCGCGCCGCCCATGGAAAGCGACTGGCCCCTGAGGACCAGCAGGGTCTTTCCCTAGCAGGGAAAAAGGCCAGGGGCATTCGCAGTGTCAGTCCCGATGGGCCGCAGGCCAGTCGCAGCGCTAATATCATGCGAGTGGCCAGTGGGGAATGGACAGATGAGATGGAGTCTTACTAGAAAAAGGGTTTACTGCTTTGCAACCAACCGCCTCTCGTTTATTTCATTCTGTTTTCCTTGGGACCTGCGGCGCTTCCGGAAGGACGTGATTACGAGACCAATCTGTTGTGACGATTCTATGATTGACCTTGGGACTGCCTAATCTAGCGACTCAACCTGCTCTCGGGTCATGGTTGAGTCCCATTATCTCCCAGGTATGAGCGACTCGCATCGTCGGGCTCAGACAACGACTTTAATTTTTTCATTTTTTTCTCCCCATTCCCCCTTGTTGTAATCTGCGATTATACCATGTTAGCTCCGGCTTTGATACTTTCTTTGCGGGACCCGAACTTTCTTGTGTTGATTCTTGGATCTTTCCGGCGATGAAATGAAAGGGAGAACCGAACGGACGATATGACGTCCCCCGGATATCCCAAAGTGGCTTGGAAGAGACATATTGCCTTCTTGTATTATGCTTTTGTTTGTATGTTTGAATAATTCCCCTAGCCTTTTTCAACAGAGACATGAGTGGAAGGAGTCTATCTCCCACCCTCGTCCTTTCCCATGATCGATATCATTTCCCTTGTTTCACCGGGTTATTTATGTTCCATTTTCCGTTTTGATGAGGTCCCTTGTTTTATGATTTGTTTACTTGTCGCATAGCATGCTTTTTCCATTTGTGTTTGTATCAGCGTTGTATTTGTTGTCTGGTTGTCTGGTTTGTTGATTAGACATCAATGATTGACTTGTTCTATCTTGGATTACTTGCTAGTCGACCTAATCGATTAGACGTATATCATGTAGGACATGACTATGTAGATGTTGTTAATATCTTCAGTAATGTACAGTCAACAGACAATGAGCCGGTTTCAACTTATCCCAACTACCGCGCACATAGCAAGTACAGTAGCTCAGTAGCTCCAACCACACCTACCTAAGAGCGGAGACAACGACTCCCACCACCATAACCGACCCCTATACTTTACAGACAGACCCACAAATAGCTAGCTATCCAACAGACAGACGATAAATAAGACAAAAACTCAAACTCCCCCAGCAAGCGACCCCATCCACCCGCGATCCCCACCCAAAGCCCTCTCCGCAGACCCAACATCCACCTCCTTCTTCACCCTCCTCGCAGGCTCACCACCATCCTCGCGCGTCAAATCGCGCGCCTCCTGCAACCTCCGCAGGGACTCCTTGCGGCCCAGGATGGCCATCGTCTCTGGGATGCCTGGCCCCGCGGCGCCTGCTGAGAGGGCCCAGCGGAGGTAGTGGTAGAGTTCTTTTTTGAAGGTTTTGTCGATGGATTTCTTTGCTTTGGATGCGTCTTCTGGGGTGGTGGGAGGAGAGGGTGATTGGGGAAGGTGGTCTTGGTCTTCGAGGGCGGAGGAGCCGTCGTAGGAGGTGATGTTTGCTTTGTGGGTTTCGATGGTCCAGTGGGGTTCTGGGACGAGCATTAGGGCTGCGGCTGCTGTGTGGAGGGTGGAGAGGGGGATCTTGTTGTTGGTGCTGGGGGTGAGGGTTGAGGTGTAGGGAGGTCGGGTTAGGGTTGGGGTGAAGAAGGTGGCGTTGCGGGTGACGAAGTCGGTGGCTGTTGTGTATGATTTTGCGTCGGCGCGGAGGAGGGGAGCGATGTATTCATTTAGAGAGCGGGATTGGAGGAGGGGTGCTCTGTGATGTTTATCAGTTGTGATTCCTTGATGTCTGTGCTTTTGGCGCAGGTGGAGGGGGGGGGGATGTCGTGGGGAGGGAAAAGGTCTGGACATACAGCTCTTTCGCTGGGTAAGTGTCGGACACCACCTGGGAGACTTTCGAGACCATCGCGTCGAATTCTGGACCCCCCGTTGCGGCGAATCGCTGGGCGTGCGCCTTTTGCAGGAACCAGAGCTTCTCGAAGGCGACTACTGTGTTGCCTCGGGTGATCTTGAGGTTGAACTGGTCGTAGATTAGTAGCTGACGGGAAATGGATAGGGTCGATTATGAACGTACGATCTGCTCTAGCTCTTCCAGACTGAAGACGTCTGACTTCTGGGTGTGAGACCAGCCCAGGAGAGCGGCAAAGTTCACCAGAGTAGCTGCGAACACGCCCTGTCGGTCTTTGAAGAAGCTCAGGTCGATATCGGCATTCCGCTTGCTGAGCTTTTGCCCGGATTGGTCGACCAGCAGGGGAACATGGCCGAAGCGGGGAGGCGTCCATTGGAACGCGTTGTACAGTGCGACGTGCAGCGGAGTGGAGGGCATCCATTCCTATGTTTCAACGCTGTTAGAATCCTGCCCCCGATCTGTGGAAGTTCCCCGATGACGTACCGTTCCCCGGATCACATGGGTGATCTTCATGTGGTGGTCGTCCACCACGTTGGCGAGGTGGTAAGTCGGGTGCCCGTCGGATTTGAGCAAGATGGGGTCGTCGTACACGCGATCGATCAGATCCAACTTGTTAGGCGATCGGTTTTGCCCCGTTTTGCCGTACACTAGGTCGTCAAACATTGGGTATCCCTCCACCTTCAACCGAACCACATGCGTGTCGCCCTTGCTTGCGCGCTCTTCGGACTCCGCCGCGGAAATATCTGCGCACGTTCTGTCGTACCCCGGGGCTAAGCCTGCCTGGCTGCGGTGTCGTGCGAGAGTATCGAGTCGATCGCCCGAGCAGAAGCATCGGTATGCATGGCCGTTGTTGATCAGGTCATGCGCGTGGGTGCGATAGAGGGCCGTCCGTTCCGACTAGATGTAACCGTCCACTCTGGTCAGCGCAAGTCCACACAGACCATTCGATGGGCACATTTCCGGCCATACCTGTCTGTAAGGGCCGTAAGGACCCCCGATACTTGGACCTGTGGTGCACAGCGGCCTCAAGTCAGCGAGGCCGATCCCCACACAATCCAAATGCGCTTCCATTCTCACCTTCGTCCCACTGCAGTCCAGCCCATTGAAGATCATCGTAGAGCCTCTGCTCAGCATCGGGGATCGTCCGTTTCTGTAGTCCCAATCAGCTCCCCGTTCATGGTCTCCCGGTCGATCGTGTCCTTGCGCACCTGGTCCGTGTCCTCGATGCGCAGCAAAAACTGGCCGCCCGTTCGTCGGGCCAACAGGTAGTTGAACAGGGCGGTGCGAAGTGACCCAAGATGAAGATATCCGGTTGGCGACGGCGCAAATCGAGTTCGGGCGGGAAGATTAGGGAGATTGGTCTTTTTGCTGCCGGCGCGTACGCTCGGAGACGTCGAGTGAGCTCTGCATTGGAGGCAGACCCAGGAACGACGGGCTAATAGACCCGAGAGAGGGCGTCTCATGATAACGCGACAGCAAGGAGAACTATAAACAGGAAAAGAAGTGGGTGGAAGTGGACAGAAGGTGGTGAAGCAGACGCGGGAGAAAAAGGCAGAGAGAAGGATGAGCGGAGGTGCGGCGAACGGAAGCCGAACGGGGCGAATGATTTTCTTTCCCCGTCCGAACTTTGCTCCGTCTTTCTTCTGTCAATCCACGATCCAATCCTCGTCACCCAGTCCTTTCTATAACGTTGATTTGGATACTTTCTTCTGACTTGATACTCTTTCATATATTTAATATCTGTTTCTTGGATAATCCCCAGTCTTCCACGCAGTCAGGCCGAGTCTTCCTGCCTCTCCACCATTAGTATGGCAGCCTGTTTTCCTCTTTTCTTTTGCGCACTCCAACATATCCTCTACGGGGCTAACATATTATGATTAGTGGCTGAATTCGAGATCGACCTCTACGGTATAGTCCAACTGATGATGAAGTCCCCGAAGAAATCGCGTTGCTAACCCTCCGAACAGAGGTCCTGGAGATTGAGCGAAGCGCAAGCAAAGACGAGGTCCGAAAAGCTTATCGCAAGGTATGTCGCCTGCAGAATCCGACCCTCGATTCAACGAGGCTTCTTCTAATCTCAAACCGCTTCGACATGTAACAGGCAGCCCTCGCAAGCCATCCCGATAAAGTTCCCGAAGACGAACGCGAAGACGCAGAGGTGAAATTCAAGTCGGTCCAAGAAGCCTACGACATCCTTTACGATGACGACAAGCGCCACCTCTACGATACCCACGGTATGGGTGCGTTCAATGGCTCCGGTGAGCCTGGCATGGGCCCTGGCGGCCCCGACCTCGACGACATCCTCGCCCAGATGTTCGGTGGCATGGGTGGCATGCCCGGTATGGGCGGCATGCCCGGCGGTATGCCCGGCGGACCCCGCGCGAACAAACCCCGGAGGAGTCCCAACGAAGAGCAGAAGTACGAAGTGAGCCTGGAGGATCTGTACAAGGGCAAGACGGTCAAGTTCGCGAGCACCAAGAACATCATCTGCAGCCTGTGCAACGGGAAGGGCGGCAAAGAACGGGCGCAGGCCAAGAAGTGCTCGACGTGCGACGGACATGGTGTCAAGCAGGTGCTGCGACAGGTGGGACAGTTCTTGTCCCCGTCGACTGTCGTCTGCTCGACCTGCAGTGGCGACGGCCAATTCTTCAGCCCCAAGGACAAGTGCAAGAAGTGTAAGGGGAAGAAGACTGTGGAAGCCAAGAAGATGTTAGAGATCTACGTGCCTCCGGGAGCGAAGTATGTTATCCCTGTTCTATTTCTCGTCCCATGATCGGCAGCTAACTTTGATTTAGGGAAGGGGACAAGATTGTTTTGGACGGTGAGGCGGACCAAGCACCGGACCAAGAGCCCGGAGACATTGTCTTCCATCTGGTTGAAGAAGAACACCCGATCTTCCGGAGATCTGGAGCCGACCTCACGGCCACCATCGAAATCACACTGGCCGAAGCGTTGGCCGGGTTCTCCCGCGTCGTGATCAAGCACCTCGACGGGCGGGGTGTGGAGCTCAAGCATCCCCAGAAACCGGGTCAGGTCTTATCGCCCGGACAGGTCCTGAAGGTCCCCGGGGAGGGCATGCCCATCAAACGGAGCGACTCCCGGGGTGATCTGTACTTGATCGTCGACGTCAAGTTCCCCGATGAGAAATGGAAGCCGAGCCCCGCCGTGCTGGCGAGCCTCAAGGAGATACTGCCTAAGCCAGGCCCTGCCATCCAGGCAGACACCGTGGACGAGGTAGAATACGACCCGAAGGGCAACATGGATGAGTTTGGGTCCAACGATCAAGGGGGGTCTGCATGGGAGGACGATGATGATGAGGGTGAGACGGCGCAGTGCACAGCGCAGTAATCTTGCATGCTTGCGTTTGTCTTTTCCTCTGTTTGCATTTCGTTTCTTTTTCTTTTTCCTATTTTGTTTTTTCTTCTCTTTGTCTGTTTGTCACGGCCGTTGTCTATACCTCTTGCAGCAGGGCTTATTTAGAACCGTCGGAAAGACGCATTGGGACCAACTTTCCTCTGGCATCGCTGGCGTTTGCGGTCCAAATCAGCAGCTTGGTCTGATATAATGGTGATGATAGAAATATACTACATACATGTTGCAATCAGTGTCTCACTTGGCATGTGCTTCGCGTGTGGGGGTGAAACAAGCATTCCGATATCTTGAAATTAGTTTGACCCCTGTCCGGTTGTCTCCGTTTGAGGTGTGGGATATTGGGCCGTAAATTCTTTACGAATTTGTGATTTCTTTCTTGTCCATCCATCAAACAGGGAGAAGTTTTAACCCACCAACGGGTTCATCCGGGGTGAAAGACGGGCCCGCATGTCTCCTTTTCCCCAGGTCTCCAGCACCCACCACATTTGAATAGCGCGGGGTTGAAGCGAATGGGGGGCTCCGGGGCTCCATATCCATTGTCTCGGGCCAATCAATCGAGCAACGCGACATGTGTTTTCAGGCCCGATCCAAACATTGGGGCCCTGTGTTTGATTGTAGTTAATATCTCTTATTTCTCATTCTTTTTTTCCCTTTTTTTCTTTCTGTATCCTATCCAGCGCAGATATAAAGCACTGTTCGTTCCCTGCCGCTTGTCGGAATCCCCACTCCATACATACCAACTGTATTGCTCCTGATTCGCTCGGCACCCCGGGTTCCCATCTTCGGAGATTCTCCGGTTTTTCGGCATCGGTGGTATACCGTCAGTGGACTGTCTCGGCTTTTAAGGGGTTGAGTACCTAGCAGTCGGCTTAAATACCCGACCCGACTGCGGCATTGAACCCACCAAGCGCTATCTATCTTCATTTTCAATCAGGAAATCAAAGTAGGTATGTCGTGTCAGTCGCAAAAGTCATGCGACGGCTGCGCCTGCAAAGGCGGCGCGGCAGCGGCGTCTCCCGTCAACATCGAAGACTGCGAGACGGAGCTGCTTGCGCTACGGAAGAGGACGATCGATCTGGAGAAAGCGCTGGCGTCCATGAAAGACGGAGAAGAAGGCGTGGTGCCCCGCGCGAAGAAGAAGAAGCTGCGGTCTGCGAACTGGTTTCGGTGCGAGAGCAATCCGGGCATGATGGCTCTCTATATCGAGAGGTATTTGAATTATGGCCTCACGCGGGAGGAGCTCATGTCTGGGAAGCCCATCATTGGCATCGCGCAGTCTGGGTCGGACCTGTCTCCGTGTAACCGGTACCATTTGGAGCTGGTGAAGCGCGTTCGGGAGGGAATTGGGGCTGCGGGGGGTATCGCGTTTGAGTTTCCCACGCATCCCATCCAGGAGAGTAGTCGTCGGCCGACGGCTTGTCTTGATCGGAATTTGTCTTATTTGGGTTTGGTGGAGATCTTGTATGGGTATCCGTTGGATGGTGTGGTGCTTTTGACTGGTTGTGACAAGACTACCCCGGCTGCTTTGATGGCTGCGGCTACTATTGTATGTTACCACCGTGGTGATAACTCAGTCCCGTTTCCTGTTTGCTGCATTTGCTGACATCCCAAAGAACATCCCTGCCATCTGTCTGAATGTCGGTCCGATGTTGAACGGATACGTGAAGAGCGACCTTGCCGGCTCCGGGATGGTGCTCTGGAAAGGCCGCGAGATGTACGCCGCCGGGGAGATAAACCAGGAAGAGCTCGTCGACTACGTATCCCGAGGGTACGTCGGACCTATACCATGCGCTAGAGTCCGTTTGCTAATCTCGCCCCGTCAGCGCCCCTTCCGTCGGACACTGTAACACCATGGGAACGGCATCGACGATGAATGCCCTCGCAGAAGCCCTAGGAATGGCCCTTCCAGGCTCCGCAGCCATTCCAGCCCCGTACCGCGAACGAGGCCACTGCGCCTACGAGACCGGCGAGCGGATTGTCGAGATGGTCCATTCAGATCGCAAGCCGAGCGACATCATGACGCGCGAGGCCTTCGAAAACGTCATCGTGGTCAACACCGCCATCGGGGGCAGCACCAACGCCCCGATCCACATCAACGCCATCGCCAAGCACATCGGCGTCGACGTCTCACTGGACGACTGGGACAGACTCGGGTTCCACATCCCTCTGCTGCTGAACATGCAGCCTGCGGGCGAATTTCTAGGCGAGGAATACTTCCGGGCTGGGGGGCTACCAGCCATCATGGCGGAGCTGCTCGACGCGGGCAAGTTGCACGCGGGAACACTGACCTGTAACGGGCTCAGCGCGGGGGCAAACGTCAGCGGGAAGCACACTTGGGACCGGCGGATAATCAAAGCGTACGACGAGCCGATATTGGGCGACGCGGGCTTCCTTCACCTGCAGGGAACACTGTTCGACTCGGCCATCATGAAGACGTGCGTGATTTCCGAACAGTTCCGCAAGACCTTTCTGGAGAACCCTGACGACCCGATGGCCTTTGAAGGCACCGTCGTCGTCTTTGACGGGCCCGAACATTACCACGAGAGGCTTGAGGATCCATCTACGCCTATTGATGAGAGGACTATCTTGGTCATGCGCGGGACGGGTCCGTTAGGCTTTCCGGGTGCAGCTGAGGTGGTCAACATGCACCCCCCTGGACGACTTCTCCGGGGGGGTGTCAAATCACTGCCCTGTATTGGCGACGGGCGACAGTCGGGCACCTCTGGCTCACCATCTATTCTCAACGCGAGCCCCGAGGCTGCAGCCGGTGGGAATCTAGGCGTCCTGCGTGACAAGGACCGGGTCCGAGTCGACCTCAAGCGACGACGCGTCGACATCCTTGTCTCGACGGAGGAGCTAGAGAGGCGCAGGATTGAACTGCAAACCCGGGGGGGCTATGTCGCACCTGAGAGTCAGACCCCATGGCAAGAGCTGTTCCGGAAAGAAACCGCGCAGTTGAGTGAGGGGATGGTCCTCTCAGAGGCTGTCAAGTATCAACGACTGGCTCAGAAATACGAGGTTCCTCGACATAACCATTGAAGCAAGGGGGCAGAACCCAGGTGTGGGGAGGTTGGTGTCAGTGTTGGTGTTGCGTGAGGATGAAACTATCGCATCAACCACCACCAATCACGGGACCAGACCATTTTCCAGTTACGTTTATCCAGGATGCGTTGTGCAATGAGACTCAGACACTCTATGACTATCTTTTACCATTGAACAGCTTCCTCCCATCTATACCCCGGCATCTGTACTATTAATAACCCCTTCCGTGACCAGAGTAGAGGTGCAACATCGACTTCAACAGTGCCCTAACCGTACATTCTATCCTCATGGACCCGACGATTCACGATAGACTTCAATACCGTTCCACGATCCACCAGAAAAACTTTTCTAGTCCGATTTACTCGCGACAAGCCTCCGATCTGATTGCACTTGTTTCAAGTCGGACAGATCCGCCTTGCATGCCCATACTCAGCTGCACGACGGATTAAGCTCGTACAGGCAGATACCCACAGCCACCTGGGGAACCCTCGAAATCAGAATAGCAACAGATATCGCGACCTGACTATTCATTCGATATTTTTTTGTTCCCTGAAATTGCAACAATACATTGAAAACAAGACCATCGTCTGCCTCTGACAGCATCGGGTTACAGAAAAAGAAATACAAGTAAATGTCTCTCGACACAGCAGCTGAACGGGTCTCACAGCGTGTGCCCCTCTGATAACAGTCTCGAATCGCGTGCAAGCTGCGATTTCTTTTCTTTTTCCTACTGTTGCAACTGTTAGGCGTTCTGGAGGAACAATGTCTAGGTATTTGCTATTTCCCTCGCCGAAGCACGCCTCGGTGCGACAGAAGAGTCTGTGTCAGCCGCACGATTTCTGTGCCGGTCGTTGCACAGGTCAGATTCTCGTGCAGGTACATACACCACCTGCGTCGTTGGTACCGCTGCTGTGGCATGCAGTCTTCCAACTGGTACTCGTGTCTCATTTGTTTCTATGGCTCGAACACGAAATGCACCATGTGTTACTGTCTCAGCATCGTTGCGTCGGCTGGCATGTCATTCGCTGCAAGAGTCATCCTTACCGCCCTCGGTCACTGGGCTAGTTAATTAGAGCTGTATATTTACTTGGTTAGGGGGGCGGGGGGTCATAAAAACTTGCTTGAATCCTGCCTGAATGACGAGAAAAGACAGACACAGAAACTACTCATAACGGAAACCCATTACTTTCAGATCCCAAGACCAAAAGATACTCTTCCTTCTTTGACAGAGTCAAGATGATCAAGTCTATTTCCTTTCTCGCTCTGCTCTCTGCAGCAAGTGCCATCCCAATGTCAAGTCCAGTTCTCGCCCGGGGAAACTGCCAAACCGTTCCTCCCACGACCATTGATGTTATGGACGCCTCCGACCCAGATGGTTTCAAAACTGGCCATAAATTTCGCCTCGAGAGCACCGGTAATCCCATAGCAAACACGAAGATCTCGGCTCTAACCTTCGCTCTCCCCTCCGGTGCCACGGGCTGTGTACTGCGGATCCATAAACCCCCGATCGTCTCTGGCAACAACGTGGCGGACGTCTGGACGACTAGTCCGTGGAATGCTCACGCGCCGCCTACCTGGAACAACCTCCCTCACAAAAATGAGATGGTAGGGAAGCTTATCTTTCCAAAGGATCGATCAAGTCAAGAAGACGTGAAAAATATCGCGTCAAACGTTTGTTCGACCACCATGAGTTACTTGGTGGAGTTCACCAAGCCACCGCCCAGCGAAGGGAGCGTCGAATTTTACAATACGGCGGGCTCTGGATCAAATAATGACATGGGCTTCGATATGCAGTATAATTGTTGATTGGCGGTTATCTCGGGCGACATGATTTGGTGGGCAGCAGGACGAGGGCGATGTTCCAGCCTCTGCGTATGGGGGATATAGCCCTAAAGGGACATTCTGTGGCAAATTGTAACTGTTTTTGTTATGAGAAATGCGAAGCAAGTTTCAAGCAGCACCGCAAGCTTTCAAATGCGATGTGAATCTGAGAAGCTCTCGACCAAGATCTGGCTGTTGCTAGACCTGGGGGAACCAGACCAGAAGTATCTCGGTTGGTCCTCTCGTATATAAGCGTGCATTGGCAAGTCTCATTTCCGTGCTTGGGCAGAAGAAAGCATTGCACAAGTTTCAGCTAGATTTGTTCACCCGGTCGCATGGACCAAGAGATTGAGCTATCACGGCGTTCCCTTTTGTTTCAGTTGCCACTTTCTAAACCTAAACTAGAAAAGTCATTCTGCCTGTGTTCTTAAAGTCAACATCCCCAAAGTCATTGCAATGCGGTCCATTAAGTTCTCCGTTCGTTCATCGCTTGATTCATACCATAGTAAATGCTGGGAATACAGTGCGCGGGCCTTCAGTGCCATGGCCGCCGAGTGCCAGACGTCGGGTCCAACGGCGGGAATAGGATTGGAGAGAAGGGCTTCCCGACGGGTCTCCTCGGAGCCGATCACTGCGATCAACTGTTGAAGCATCGCAATTGCAGTGCAGACTCCTTCGAGCGATCTCTTGCCCAGAAGACAGGCGGCGGAGGCAGGAATGGGCCCAACAAACTCTAGTAGCTTGTGGTTATGAGACTCGTCACTCGCCGCATTAAGGCCAAACTTCAGCTGCGACCGCATGCCGCACAAAGCATCCCGACAGTCGGCGATGTCCTTTGTCAAGTCTTCCCTCCGACGGTCGAACGTTTTCTGCGAGCTGGCGATCAGGGTCTTGGTGCTCACGAGAAAGCCAGGACATCGAGCAATCTCGTAGAATGCATGCTCCACCAAGGCACCTAAACGACTTGCTTTCCCTCTCTGCTCTTCTAATGCCAAGGCGTCGTCAATGCTCGACTTCCACATCGGGTCTTCCAGGAAGCACCGCTCCCCCAGGAGAAAAGCCTGGAAAATGAAAAAAGGCCGGAAAGACACCAGCAGCAGCCGAGCGGTTCCGTCGACGTAGGCCTGAGCCCTCCGCAGACGGATTAGGTGGGAGAGGCCGCGTGAATGTAGTATCCATGATTTCTGTTTCCGGTCCGCCATCATCTCGTAGGTCGCGAGGAACATTGTCGAGGCGAGGGCATCGTCCGAAGCCACCATTGAAGGATTGCCAATCACTCGGGCGAGATGCCGCAGTGCACGACGGTACATGTCCCGACTGAGATGCACCAACCGCGGGTCGTGTTGAATTTTCCCCATGTACAGCATGGCGATGCCGCGCAAAGACCAATCGAGGGTTGGGTTCGGGACCTTCTGGCTGCGAACGAAAGAGACCCAAGTCATGTTGAGACGCGGAACGTAAGCATTATATTGGCCTGGAAACGCCGTCGGAACGAATGCGCAAAACGCCTCGCGAAGTTGGCTATCCATGATCCTAGCGACTAGACTGGGATTCACTGATTCATCTATGGACGTGAAACCCACTCCTCTGCGCGCTGGAGTGGCGCGTAGCAACAAGCTACTCGATGACACCTGCTGTTCCGCTGGAGGGTCATTTTTGACCGGGTTCTCCTTCTCTGTCTCCCCGGGAGACACGTGGTGGAATTTCCGTTGCCTCTCGTAGCCTGGGCATTCCACGTTCCTTTTTTGACAGCGGAGGCACTTTGGACGGGTTTCGTCGCACTAGGAGACCGACTGTATCAGTTACGTTCGAGAGATATTGAAGAATCAAAACAAGGGGGGGAGCTTGTAGATACCTTGACTTTCCGCTTCACACACACCGAGCACCCTTTGCTGCGTAACACGCCCCCCATCAATTCAGAATTGATCACCAGTTCCGAATGATCGGACCGTCATGAAGTATGTGGGAGAGATGGAGATCGCAACGTGTATGGATGCAAAGAAAGGGACAGAGGGATCTGACGGAGAGAGATCCGGTCAGCCTTACAAAGACCGCCAAGTGAAAGAAGGTCATGGCGATCATCTTTGAAAGGCGGACTAGTTCGCACCCCGGCACGTGAATCATAACCAGTTGGTTGCCTTGACCATCACCGAAGGAATGACCCCTTGCACTCTGGTGCCCTTAGTACGGGAAGTCCACCAAAATCTGCCAATGCCGACTTTGAAAGTGGATTCTACAGCCTATGTTTCATCTTCCAACAAATGCAATGCTGAACAGTTGGCTCTCATCGCCAGGGAAATGGTAAAAGCATGATCAGGTCACGTGGCGTGCACTAGGGCATCCCTAGTCTCAGCCAGAATGACAGGGATCATAAACACGGAGTGGGGTGTAAGCAAGCATCGACGAGTTGAGGAGTTGTATTGATCCAAATGTTAGAGTTGCATCTCATGTGTGTCTGGGATGTCCTCTCGCAGAAGAGGTACCACGGCTGGAAATGACGATGTTGAGTTCTATCGCAATAGACATTGTCGAGCATCTCCAGGAAGACCCTATGTGCGTCAGCTCTATGCATGATTTGGATCAATAGGTAGGAAAACTGAGAACCAACGAGTAGATACAGTATTGTTTTCTTGAACCTTCCCACTTCCAACCGCACGCTTTTTCCTAGCATGTTCGCTACGATTCAAGTAACGCCATATCATTCAGTGTGGCTTGACGCCGATATTGGAATGAGCGCCAGCCAAGTAACACTATACCTAATAATTGGAAAACTAGCAGTGAACCAAGCTGAACTATCTGTGTCAGCCCCGAGGCTGTTACCTATTCTCTCGCACTTCGAAGCCACATACGTATTTCGCAAGGATGATAGACCCCAAGTACTTGGGGCTGGCCTGCAGGACTGGATGCTGCATTTTTTATTTGATCGCAGGGCGTAAATTGTTGTCTCTCGGCTTCTATAAGCCAATCTGCATGTCGCTCAGTGAAATATCCTACCTGTTTTGGATGATATGTCTTGTTTTCAACTTGGAGAATTTCCCTCATGTTAACAGGTTCTCATGCGAAGCATCTTTAGTATCAATAATAACTTTTTCCACATAATGTCAAGCTTCAAGGAGTGTACTTGCCTTTCGTGTCATTTCAAGCTCATTAAGTTGCCTCAGTAATGTATGGTTCATCTTTTGCCTCCTAGTTCGTTAAAGTGCGCCAACTTATTCGATGATGCCTACTTCGTAAACGAGAGCTCTAAAGCAGAAGTCTACTATGAAGATGGTGCATTCTACTTTGAACTTGGACATGGCGATATTGCCATACCTTAGCCATACGAGAATACTTTTGATTCTCATAAGTATGATATGGTCTAGATGATCTATTTTTTGGCCTCTTGTTGCATCCCTTGCTTCTAATTCAATATATCTTACATTCCTAGCATGGTATTCGAGCATGGTAACCTTGCCATGCCCTAGCCCTAAAAAGAGTATTTTCGACATTTGGAAGTATGCTATGATTTACTAGATTTTCTCTCTTTGCCCCTGGTTACACCCCTAGATTCTTTCTCGGTGTGACTTACATTCCCATGTTTAGGACTAACTGTGCCCCAGTAAATGTCACTTGAAAGTGTCGAATTACAGCTGGGATTCCACCGGAAATATCTCCCATGCTCAAGAATATGTGAAACACTGAAACGGCTCCATTCCCGCGTTCAATATCTACACTGTCTTGCGCTTGATGGACGACCGAGTGGCTCTCCCGAAAATATTGCTTCCAGCTTCATATTATCCTCTCAATCAGAAGGCATCATGGCGGCTGGCTATACCGAGTGACCGTATGCGTCGGTCCTTTGCGACCAAATCTCAACCCTACCAGTCTCACTCTTGATCAAGCGAAGTAGCAGAAAGTATCCTAATCAAGTCTGGAATATGGCTAGTGAATAATGTAGTCATCGTAAATTTTATCTGACGCCTGAACTCAGCTCTCCACATCCTTTATAAGATATCTCTGGTCCCTGTGCAGGGATGTTGACTAGACACGCCCAATCTTCCGGGTATGAACTCGTGGGATTCCATGCATGCTGCAAAGCGGGTCGACCACTACAATCTCCCATTTGCCAAGACGTGGTAAGGTAAGATCATTATCTTCAGACTATAGTCTCTTTCAACTCCATGACCCTAGATTCCTATACATGAAACTGCTGAACATTCCCATTCCAGAGATAGCAAGCACATCTCAGCCGCTGTAACCAAGAGCGCCAACCAGAGTAATTTGAGCAATATGTCGTCTCTCACTGACGCTTTTCGAATATAAAATGGCTGTCCCATCCGTGTTTCCTGGTCCATTCATTCTTCTCATCCTCCAATTTTCACACATTCTAATTGTTTCCTATCAGATTCCTGACAACTTCGTCCATCATCAATATGAAGGCTGCTTTTATTATTTCCGCCCTGGGACTGGCCCAGTCCGCCATCGCTACCGGCAACGCAGGACCCTATAACTCGGTGTACGAGCAGTATTGCGGTCATGGCCAGAAACAGGGTACAATCACCGTTGGCCAGTCCGTGTTCAACTACGTCTGTGACACTGGAAACAATGCCATCAGCAAGGGCCCGGTTCCGGCTGCTTCGCTTGAAGCTTGCGCCAACCTCTGTAACAATGACTCCTGTGACCAGGCCGTCTGGTTCCGCGATAACGGGAATTGCTGGGTCAGCGTCACGGGGTCTCCCATCACTGTGTCTGGCCAAATCGCTATCACCAGGGACCCGACCGCGACGCCTAATCAGTGCCACTCAGTGGCTCCAGTCTGTATGTTTTGAGAAGATAAAAGAAAAGAAAAGATGGGCCATGCATGTATTCTAGTGACTGACCTGATCTATCATAGGCAACAACCCAAATACCCGACAGATGACCGAGGTGAATGGTCAGGGTTGGTTCCTGGCATGTGGTACACGTATGATTCTACAACCTGAAAAGGTCCCCTAATAGGAAGCTCGATACTGATATATAGCAGGATTTGGCGTCGTAAGGCCCAATCAAACTGGTAGAGTGGATAGCCTAGAGAGCTGTATTGAGACCTGCAATCAACGGTACGGCTGCCGGAGTGTCATGTGGAACCGCATCGATAAGTATTGTTATGTTGGCGACAAGAACGGACTGCAGGGCGAGGTGACGCAGAATGCCAACATCGACGCTGCCATCAAGATTGAGTAGGTGGGGGGATAAATGATGGTGTGTCTGATCCTGCCAGTGTGTTGAGTTATGGAGGCACATACGCAGATAATTTGCTGGCATGGCTAGCTATTCTACATGTTGCTCTCTATACTTCTTCTGTCTTGTCCTCTGCTTTCGCTACTGCTGTCTCTATTAGCAGAATCAATTCGTTAGCTATCACAAGTGTTACTATTAATAACGACTTTTTATCAATTTCTTCTTGATCAAACCCCCCTTCATCTTCAGATAATAATTTGTTTGATAAATCTATCATTTCTCTCTCAGTATCCGATGCTTCCTTCAAATTCTCGCTTTCGTTGGTTCTGCGGCCGGTGTAGAGCCCCCTGCCGGCCAGGGATGAAGGTCTACAGCGCATTCGCCGCCTTATTTGAAAACATCGTCGCCGACTTCGAGAAGCCGAGGCATCGTGCCCTCGCCTGGGACATAGCAAACCAGGGTCTACAGAAACTCAGTTTGTCCAGCTTCGTAGAGAGTGGTGGCTAGGACTTCACTCGTTTTCGCCTCCACAGCAATCCTTCTAACTCTCTTGTCTGGGCAGCCCGCCAGGACGTTCATAAGCACTACTACTACGGAGGTGTGCCCAAAAGTCTACAACAGGTCAAATTCACTGGCAGTACAGAGTACGGAGTACATAATTAGTACATGGTATACATATTCATAAATCACGATAGTCCGGTTAAGAGTAGGTGGTTACTTTCTAGTCCGAATTCGCCTTCTATATTGGAAGTATTTACAGTCTCATACCGTCGAATGTTCTATACAGATGTTCAACGTACTATTTTATTCACACTGCTTAAGTGCTAAGATCATTTAAATGGCAGAATTCCAGCATAATGTAATTTGCACATCTATATGTACTGCTGCCTACTGCTGCCTACTGCCCCTTGTTTCCCATCCACACCGTGTATTATCTCGATGTACTGCAAAACTTACATTCATCCAAGCAGAAATCTGTTAATTATAAGTGATTGCAATCGGCCAGCTAGCGTGCAGTGTTTCCCATACTATCTGCATTTGGACATCTCTTCCAATCTTACAACTTTTGCAACTTTTTTCATATATTTCAAATCATCAATCGCATCATTATCCTTGGCTTTTTCCCCGTTCTTCCACATTTATAACGCTGAACAATTCTCAGCGCAGCGACTGCCGTGACACTATGGATCCCCCAAATCTTTCAATCCAAGCTATCCTCCGTGAAAATAATCGAGAACGGCTCTATGTCCGTCCCATCCTCTGGACCCGGAGACAATTACAACTTCTAAACTGCGCCTTTGTTGAAGAAGAGGTACATTCGGAGAAGGGAGACCCACCGTCAGAATCAGTGATGCGTACCTGGAAAAAACATAGCAATCCTATGCAAGATATCGCAGATTTACGCGCAGCAGATATCGACAATACGAGATTTTTCGTGGGGGAAATCCTCAGCCTTTATGGTTATCATTCTCTCGAGTCAGACCAATCCTACCTGACAATCAAACTATGGAAAACTAACTTACTATCAGACTCAAACGCCTGCCATTTTACTTTGGGCACCAGAAGGTTACCAGTGTCCGAGTCGATGGATTTTTCTCTCACTCCTCCTCCACCCCACGTCTTGCTTATGTCGCACGTAGTACAATTCGTTGCCTTCGGATGAATTATGTTTACAAATCGCCAGCTCGCAAGAACCGAGACCGGCTTATCTCAAATATTCAAGATCGAAAGCTGCGCTTGCTGGAGCCCCTGATTGAGGGCAGAGACCCTTATATCATCTCGATCTTAATTGCCCTGGCCCAAGCGCAGCGTCATGAGCCAGTGGTAGAAAGATCGTGTTCAATGAACAGCAATGCAGGGGTCGTTCAGGATGCAACCAAGTCTATGAAGGTACGTCTGAATGCGCGCCATGGGTAGGGAGCCTTGTTGATTTAAGGTCCAAAGGTCACTGTTCTCACCACCCCCGCTGGAGAGGTCGATTTTCTATGCGTGTACACGGCTACTATCCCGGCTGAGTTTCTTGATCGATTGGATGCGCCCTCGCAGCCGTTGGATAGCCCTTGTGTTTCAGTGAAAAACTTTTATATTTCTCTAAAACCAGCACGGGATGCCCTGCAGAACCTACACCGTCTGATCTGTACTGGTTCATGCTCTTTATGTGCCGATGCCCAGCCTACAGATCCCGGGGTCGCGAAGTGAAATCATCAGTCGTTATTGAGACGAGCCAATAGATCAGGAACTACGAAGATTGATTGGGGCGTGTCTCAGAAAATCAAGTGTATTGTGAGGAAAAGATGCATTACTTTCAGTCTCCCCTATTTCTGAACTACGAATTCTCGTGGCAGACGTTCGACAGTGAACGCTCTCCACGATATTGCCACAGGTGGGTCTACAAACCGCTGGAAATACCAAGGAAGGTATGAACTCAATTCATGAAGAGGCGGTATCAGTTGGTTTTCTGGCAATGTGGGGACTGGACCGTCTGGTGTTATGTCAGGAGATTCATCCAGACCCGTTGAATCCACCAATTCATGACTAATGATATCATGATTGCCATATCTGAAGTTGGGTTGGTCATTTGTATAACTGTTTCTCTCCCTTATTTTTACATCTATTTTTGCCTTCTTGGGAGTAGCCTGAGCAATCTGACAAGCATTGAGATCGCGCACATCTCAGAGAATACACTCTCCGTACAACATAATCATAAGGTTTAGCTTGTTCAAAGTCGGCATATCGAGTCGACCCCATAATCGCAGCTAGTCTATTACCTAATTCCTAGAAATCCCCAGAGTTAGCTCGTCCGTCCTTCCGTCTGTCTTCCCAAAAACGCATCCCCAGCACCAATTCCTAATACTCAATCACCATGTCGGCAAAATACTCAAGCCAAGGTCCCCCCGAGGAAATCAAAGAAAAGCTGCGCCAGCACTTCACCGACAGCGAAAGCGGCGCATCAACCAACGACCGGTGGGCCGAGCTCTGGAACGAGGGGTTCATCCCCTGGGATCAGGGAGAGCCGCATCCCGCGCTGGAAGACACGCTGCAGACGCGCAAGGACCTCATCGGGGAATCGGTCTTCGTGCATGACCCCGTGCTGGGCCGCCAGCGTCGCAAGAGGGCCCTTGTGCCGGGGTGCGGCACAGGGTACGACGTCTTACTCCTGGCTAGTTTTGGGTACGACGCTGTTGGGTTGGAGGTCTCGGCTGAGGCGGTGCGCGTTTGTCATCAGTATGCGCGGGAGAACCGTGATAAGTATCCTGTGCGGGATGAGAGTGTCGGTGCTGGGCGGGTGAGGTTCGTCGAGGGGGATTTCTTCAAGGATGATTGGCTTCAGGAGGTGGTCGAGGGGGAGCATGGGTTTGAGCTTTTTTATGATCATACGGTGGGTGTTGACTCATTCCTCTCATGGGGCCCGTGACTGATCTGATGCTTCAATAGTTTTTCTGCGCGCTGGACCCATCAATGCGCGCTTCGTGGTCACTCCGCTACTCGCAGCTGATCTCGTCCCAGCCGGACAGCTGTTTAATCTGCTTGGAGTTTCCGACGAAGAAGCCCCCCGCCAGCGGGGGTCCTCCTTTTGGTGTGGCGCCGGAGGTGTACACCTCGGCTTTGGAACCCCCTAGTGAGGAGGGAGCGCAGTCAGGCGAGTCGCGACGGTATTTCCGGAGAATCGCGCATTGGCAGCCTGAGCGGTCGCATGAGATGGGTAAGGGGACTGACTGGGTGAGTGTGTGGAAGATTATCTAGGTAGTATTGTTGGCATAGATCGGGCGCAACAGGGAGGTCGAGTTGGTGTTGTTTAGATAAAGAAGACAGGGGATCAAGGTTTAACAAAACATGTCGATCACCGAGGAAGACATGTGCTATGTGACACGTCAACTGGCATCCTCCCACGTGGTTGACTTCACTTTTGTTAAGATAAGAAAGAACACAATAGTGAATGGACTCTGTACATAGCATAGACTCGACTCAATGGCAGTCCTGTGTGCATCTACCGTATCAAAATATTGCAGAGCTACCCTCTACCCCTGTCAAATATGCTCTTCCCCTCACTAGTCTCGCCTAGCAATCCCAACAGCCTGCACCTGCACGAGCTAGAGAAATCCAACATACGAGCAGCTTGGTTTGATCTCCACCATCAACATGCAATATAATCTTCGCTCTCATCCTCTACGCGGCCAGCTGGTCGCTCAGACTATCAGTGGTGGCATGAGCAAGATCCACTGTCTTCTACAGTATTAGAGCAAAACAACCAAGTGCTCATTGCAAATAATCAACCCTCTTCGCGGACATGTCTTACCAACTGACTAGCGAGGTAACAGATGACCAAAAGAATAGAAATAGAACATGGAACATGCAACTACACTTCTAGCTTCAGTCCCTGCTTCTCTTCCCTTCCTTCGGGCACGGCGACGCCGACGCCAGCCAGCCCTAAGAGGGGAAAGGGCCAGAATGACGCCGCGCCGGTGGGGCTGAGCCTGTGGTTAACTAACGTATCATTCCGATATGCCTGTCGGGCCGAACTGTGTTAACTTGTCTTTTTATTTTTTTTTTTTTTTTCACATCACCTGGCCAGCCAGCCAAGCCACGAACTGGCTTTTCAAAGGTCTAGCCGTCTAGGCATGGCGATACCAGCTTGGTTGCTGGGGCGGTATACAATCTCACCAGCGGTGCATTACATTCATTGACTACGGAGTACTCTCTTCCTCTTCTCCCACTGACGCAATCGACCCCTACCCAGTAAGACCCTATCGTAAGACCCTATCCCTTTCAAGAAAACGATCCGCAAGAACATCTTCTAGCTCAATAGCTCTCCAAGCACGACAGCAGCAACGGTGGATTACGATCGCGTGGGAGGCGACGTCAGCACAGGCCCGTACCGAGGAGGGGCAACAACGGACGCAAAGGAAGCCCACCGGCTATTGACGATCAAACAGCGGACTGGATCTTTAGTGTTGATTGACGGGCGGAATCGGAAATCGGGAGCCGGGGGGGGTCATAAGCGGGTAAGAGGGGTTGTAGTAGTAGGAGGTTAGGAGCGACGAGGTGGGTTTGCATGAGAGGTGTCAGTGACTCAGTGGAGGCGTTGTATTGACCAATTTTCACTTGATATTATTAATATTAGATAATTATTGGCTTGGTATGGTCACTGTTTTTGAATATGTTGCAGTTTATTTTTGACGGTTAGTCAACTTCCAGTGATGGATGGGAGGACAGGAGTGGATCTGGCTCAGGCTCAGGCTCCATACCGTCTTGGTCCTGATGCAGTAGTTTAGACTTCAGTGTGACTTCAAGAGGGTCTGGATGATCCATGATGGTATGGATTGTGTTGGGATCTGACTTGTTCCTGATACGGTGGTGGTATCAAGGAATGAAGAAGTAAAATCAAATAAAATTAGAAGAACGAAAGTAAACGATAAAAAAGAAATCAAAATAAAATAATACAACCATTTCAGCCTTGCTTGGCTGCAGACGGTCGAGACCGCAAACGGCGATCATTTTTTCTATCTTTGATTCTTTCCTTTATATCTTTTTATATTTTATATTTTTATTATTTTTATATCTTTTCTTTTACTACTTCCATATTACCTACCTAAATATAACAAAGGTGAAATGGTAGATATGATTATATGATTCTCCATACTGAGTTGTTCCTTCCAAGGCATCCATCATGGTAACGAGGAGATGATACTTGATACTATGGATCAGCAGATCATTCCTCTCTAAAGCCATGACAAACCGAGAATGAGACTCTGATTGTATGGGAAAGCAAGAAAATCTCGGCTGGAGTGGATCCTCCAGTGGGTCAACCAGAATTTTTCCCTCTCGTTCAGGGTCAAGATTACTTTTATTTTAGCAATACGGTGTACGGTTGAGTCGTAGTCCAACCCTTGACCATTTCCACTCCACTCTCGGCTGCTCAAGGCACACCATCGATCATCTTGGCGTGCGATTTTCGTCATTCCTACCTTTCTTCTAGCTAGTCCTCTCCTCCTTCTTACTCCGTCCATTCACATCCTTCCTCGCCACCATGTTCTGATAAAGCTGGCTCTTGTCCCCTGTCTCATTCCCCTGTCCCTCATTCCGTCTCGAATCCATCCTCCTCACCGCATTCTCTATTATTCACCACTCAACCTTTCCAGGTGTTGTTGGAATCTACTCCAACACATCAGTACACCCCGGTGTACTTATCTCCCTCCTTACATTCGTGTTGGATCAATCGTTCATCATGGACGTCGACTTATAACCTCCGACCCCCCCCTCCCCTCCTTCTTCCTCGGTCTGCCATCCGTGATCGCAAGGCTTGAACTAGTCCTGACGACCGGTTCTCACCTTCTCCATTGACTCCGTGACTTCTTTCTCTTGGTCGAATTCAAGATCAAAGAATCCAATCCAACAAGAAATATTTCTCTTTCAATCAAGTCAAAAATGGCTCCCAACCTCTTCCTCTGCCTGCGCGCTACCTTCTGCCCCTCCTACTGGTTCAACCGCGGCGAGCGCATCAATGGCTCCCTCCACCGGGAAGAACACTGGGAGTCGCCCGTCCCCGGCATCTACAAGTACATCCCGGGACGCGGATGGCACCTCATCTCCCGCGACGATCACGACCACGACGAGAAGGTCCCCGTCCCCCTCGTCTACTGCCGCATCCTCCACCGCTTCATCTTCGAACACGACATGGAGGACCGCTGCCGCTGGTTCACCGTTACTACCCACGAAGGCGCCGCCTCCGAGAGGCTGATGTTCTTCCGTCTCGACGACGGCTTCACCTGGGTCGCTGCCTGGGATTCCCAGCGTCGCTTCATCCCGGGGCCGTACCAGAAGTGGTACCTCGATGCGGAGACCGATACCGTGCGTCCGGTCTTGTTTCCCGAGAGCTCGAATGTGTCTCGGGTGAGCCTCGTGGCGGGCAAGATGGGTTGATTTTATTATGTATGGGCTATTAGCGGGTTTTGTTTTACGACTGATAGATGATTTGGGTGCGGGTATAAACTAGCGATCTCTTTTCTTGTTGTTTAAAATGGGGTTGTTGTGTTATGGTCTAGCGAACTGGGATTCTTTCATCTTTTTTTTTTTCTTTTTTCTTTTTTCTTTTCTTCCATCTGGTGCCATTGGCCAGAGATATCACTACTTAATACTATCTATATCATGGACTATGATCTTACAGATCAGTCGATACATCACATCAATCTAGCTGTGCAGTAGTATGGCATATCACACAAGCCTTATCTATGCTCTCAGACCTATCGACAACAAGCATATCTATATCTTAAAGTACAGCACATACAGTATCATCCCATCCAACAACCAGTCATACATGAATCAATCATCACCAACCAATCCCCAATCATCCCCAATCAACCAACAACAAGAAACAACAAGCAAAGTAAATGGAAATCACAACTTCGCCCCCCCACCCCCCACCAACAACTTCCCCAACTCCACCCTCGCCCTCTCCTCCATCCCCGTCCCAGTAGGCCTCATCGTATCCCTCGCACAAAAAACATGCGTAAAGCCCCCGACGACCTTCACAGCGGGATCACCCTCCTTGAACACACCCACTTCGTACGTCACCGACGACGAGCCCAGCTTGTTAACGCGCAGACCGAGCTCCAGCACGTCTGGGAAGGACACAGACGCGAAGTAGTCGCAGTAGGAGTTGACCATGATGGCTACTTGGGAGAGGGTGTCGCCTTTGGAAGAGGAGGATGGAGAAGAGAATGGATCCATGCCGCAGTTGGTGATCAGGTAGCTGTTGATTATGGAGTCGAAGAGTTGGGAGTATATTGTGTTGTTGAGGTGGGCGTACATGTCGTTGTCGAGCCTGTTTTTTGTTAGTCTTGTATCATGATCATTGTATTATTTTTTAATATGTAGGTAGTAGGTATATGTTGGATGGGGGGGAGATAGGGAATACCATCGGGTTCGGTAGACTTGGTGAACGGCGTAGTCGCTGCGAGTGCGACGCTTTTTGGCATCGATTTCTGGTGGGGCCATTTTCTTCTTTTCTTCTCTTTTTTAATTGAATTGTTGTCGCTGATGTTATGGCTTGTTGATTGTAAGAGTTGAGATGAGGAGAATAAATATGAATCCGTCCTGCCTGCGGGGATAGACCGAGGTTACAAATGCCGCTTCGTGGCTCCTTTCGGTAGGGATCTCCACCAGGTTTCGTCTCTTTAATTGATTTGAATATTCATATGATTTTAATTTATACCTGGATATTTTGTTGGTAAAAGATCAATCAGTTTAGTCACGTTGTAGGTGTTCTGGGTTGTATTGTGAAGACTATGGGTTATATTTATATATAATGGGTACCGACCGTAATCGCACGAGTTGATCATATATTGATGTAATCTGATTGATTGCCAGTTTATAGCAAATAGTTATACCAGTAGTATTTTGCACATATCAAAGAAAAAGAATTAAAGAAATGATAATAGATACCAAAGTTGAGTTGTTCAAACAGGGTGGATAGATAGTCGCCTCAGGCCCAGACTCGGCCGGTTTGCCATTTTTTTTCTCTTTAATTTTTTTCTATCTTCCCCGCAATTCTTTTCCTTTTCTTCCTTTTTTTTTCCCACCAGGAACCAGGAACTTCCTCCCCCTCCCATCTCTTGACCCCTCTCCCTTTATATCTCCTGGTTCTCTCTATCTCTCACATAATGGCGACCGAATCTCAAACCCCCGCCATCCTCCCCTCCGACCCGTGGCCCGCTCCATACTACCTCGAAGGAGGCTTCCGTCGCGTCACTCCCTACCACTACACCTACAATACCTACTGCAAGGAACGGTGGCGCGGCCGCGAGTTGGTCGACATCTTCACCTCCGAGTTCCGTGATCGCCCCCAGGACTATTACCGACAAGCCCTCGAGGACGGCAAAGTGTCCGTCAGCGGGCAGACGGCCGGCCCGCACACCGTCGTCAAGAACGGCCAGGTCATCTCGCACACCCTCCACCGGCATGAACCCCCCGTCACCGGCCAGGCCATCGGCATCATCCACGAGGACGACGATATCCTCGTCATCGATAAGCCCGCCGGTGTGCCCGTCCACGCCGCTGGCCGCTACCACTACAACTCCATCATCGAGATCCTGCGCTCCCAGAGCACCTACGAGTGGACCCCGCGCCCCTGCAACCGCCTTGACCGTCTGACCTCGGGCGTCATGTTCATCGCGAAGCACCAGAAGGGCGCTGAGATGGTCGCCGGCCGTCTGCGCCAGCGCACCGTCCAGAAGGAGTACATCGCCCGCGTCAAGGGCAAGTTCCCTGACGGCGTCGTCGTCTGCGACCAGCCCATCATGTCCGTCAGCCCTAAGCTGGGTCTCAACCGCGTGCGCGCCACCGGCAAAGAAGCCACCACCAAGTTCCGCCGCATCGCCTACTACCCCCCTCCGTCCCAACACCACGACCAGGAGAACGAGAACGAGAACGAGAACGACCCCGCGCGCCCCGCCACGCCGCCGCCCGCCTACGCCAACGAAGACGAAGGATACAGCATCATCCACTGCCTCCCGCTCACAGGCCGCACGCACCAAATCCGCGTCCACCTCCAGTTCCTCGGCCACCCAATCAGCAACGACCCGATCTACTCCAACAGACGCGTCTTCGGGCCCGACCTCGGCAAAGCCGACGCCACCGGCGACCGCGACGACGAGCTCGTCGACAAACTCTCCGCAATGGGCAAAACCGAAGTCGCAGACACCGTCTCCTACCGCACACACCTGACCACCACCCCGGTCGTCCCACCAGGCACCAACCCCTCCACCATCGAAGAGATCATGTCGCGCGAGCACGAAGCCGCCGTCGTCGCATACCACAAGCGCAAGGGCGAGCGCCTCTCCGGCGAATCCTGCGACGTCTGCGGCACAGAGCTCTACACTGACCCCGGCCCCCACGAGCTCGGCATCTTCCTCCATGCCGTCGCTTACGCGGACTCGCAACACGGGAACTGGAAGTATCGCAGCTTGATGCCGGGCTGGGCTATGCCACCTGCGGGTCTGGATGGGCCCCGTGAGACGCCTGACTGGGTGCCTGTGCCTGAAGAGGAAGAGGTTGTTATTGGGCACGGCGAGGTTCCGGAGGGCATGCGCGAGGAGGATCATAAGAATGTGCCGGTTTTGGTGAGGGGTGTTGGGATGGTGGATGTGTCTAGTGGGGGGCGTCAGACGGAAGCTTAGTTTTTCTTTCTCTTTTTTTCCGATCTTTTCTCTTGATTCTTGACTTTTGCGATTTGTTCTCACTTTGAAGTATATGAAGATAAGGGATATGATGTATAGAGGGTGGGTGCTGTTGCATGGGACGGAGTTATCTATAGATATGACTTGTTTGATACCTACTATACATGGCCACTTTGTTATCATGATTCATCAATCAATCAACCTCAGACATGGTATAAATGTTAATCAAGCAATGTAGGAGCCCTAGATTGTACGCAGTACGGAGTACATACAAGAATCAAACCTACACCGACCGACGTACACTACACACTTAAGTGGCATCGCTACAAGAGAACACCCAGCTACGAGAAGGCCAATAGCGACAGACGGACCTCCCCAAAAACAACTACAAACAACAAGGTTTGGAAAAAATCATCAAGATTTTTACTCTTTTCAATAAACTCCACCCACTTCGCCAGAAGCACGTCATCCCAGTTCCGTCAGTCCGTTCCCATTCCTCGTTCAAATCCCCCCTGCCTTTCCTTTCCCATTGGCCTACTGGAGTACGACATAGGCCGACCTCATACTGCAGGGTAGGGTAGGTAGGTAGTAGGTAGGTAGGTGGTATATTGTATGTTATGGTTTCTTTCAGAGAAAGAAGAGTTTTAAAAATGGAACATAAATTCGGATTTTTTTTATTTCATAACATCCATCCGGGAATTTAAGCCTCAACGGTGACACGGCCCTTAGGGTTGGTGACCTTGACGCCGAGGGCCTTGGCCTTGGCGATGATGTCGACACGCTTGCGGGAGGAGACGGCGTGGCCGATCCTGTACAAATTAGCTTCTTGTTCTTCTTCTGCTTTCTATGATGGAGGAACATACTCAGCAGCATAGGTGCGGTTGTGCATGAGGAGCAGCTCGACGTCGCGGGGGTTCTGGACGAGGAAGGCCTTGTGACCCGAGGGCATCATGTGGCGGGTCTTCTTGTTGCTGCCGTAGCCGATGGAGGGCATGGGCAGGTTCGACTTGAAGCGTCTACGGACGCGGTTGTCGATACCCTTGGGCTTGCGCCATGACTCCGGGACGCACTTGAAGCGGTCGGACTGGTGGCGCCAGAAACGCTTTGTGCCTGTTTCTGTTAGTTTTCTGGGTTTGGAGTGGTTGCGACGTGGTAGGGGTGTTCAGTTCTGTCCGACCAGTTCAGTGAGCAGGTCAGGTTGTCAGGTTGTCTCGTTCGTTCTGGTCGTCTTGTTCTTCTTGTCCGTCCGGTTGGATTGGATTTGACTCGATCGTGTTCTCGTTCTCGCTCGTCGTCCGTTCAGAATCGATTTGAAAAATCTTCGCAACAGTTCGAACCCGAATCAAACTCTTCTCCTCTTTCGCCAAGTAGATGATCACCATCGACGCAAAATCTGACGCTGACTGCTCTGACTGAACTGGCCGAAATAGGACTGACTGCTGGCTGGGTAGGGTAGACAGAGCAACGGTGAAATCAAGGCAGCAACATACGCTTCTTAACGATGGGGACGTGCTTCTTTGCGAGAGCCATCTATTTCATTCAATTAGTATACTGATCCAGCCAATATACAATTGTATGGAAGGGAAATAAATACCTTGTCGGTGGGCGCTCAAAGTTGTCGTGACGGTTCAAAGAAGGTCAGGTCAGGCCAGCCTTTGAAATTTCGCCGTGGACGTTCGACTCGCCGCCCGCAGCCCCGTGAGCGGCTCGCTAAGCGATATCCGCTTCGCCCGATCAGGTTTAGTGCACTGCGGGCTTAGGGCTGACCCTGTTTGCTTCCTGCCTTTGTCAGCTACATCATGTGATTTGTGATTGATTACTCAGACTTGGTTCTTGTTCAAGGTTTCCATACAAGGCATCTACCCATCTATCCATTCTCTATACTCCATACAGCTACTGCAGCTCCAACCTCACCCTCTCCCCATCCCGCCCACTACTCTCCAACATCCGCTCAACAACCTCCAAATCCGCCATCGCCTCCCGCGGCCGCAGCCTCTCCGGCACGCTCTGCTTGCCCACCACAGCGGCCCCAAACTCCGCAATCTCCTCCTTCACGCACCGGCCCTGGAACGGCACCTCGTACGACTCGCCATCGACCGTCACGCGGTCCCCATCCAGCGTGACCACGCCGCCATCCACACACGCGAATTCAAACAATGAGTCGCGGAATGGTGACCCATACGACAGCGACACCGCGCCCGTCGCGCCCCCGCGCGTCTTCACTACCGCGTCTACGGTATCCACGGGCGCCAGGTGCGCCTGCTGCAGACAGGCTTGCGCGGAGAGCGTCGCCATTGCGTCCCGAGCGCCGCTTAGGATGAGTCGCAGACCGGCGACTACGTGGATCCCGCCGTCCAGCACGAAGCCGCCTTGGTAGTCTGGGATTTGGCGCCATTCGGTGACTGGATCCACGTCAGCTCTTATCTTCCCACTACTCGACAACGAAGAACGTAGACAAAGTAGGGACTTGAGGGCACATACGGTAGTACTTCGAATCCGTGGTGATCATGCTCCGCGCACACACCCGGAACGTCTTCACCCCGCCCCGCTTGCGCACCTCCTCCGCGGCACGCACGTACTTCCCCTGATATCGGAAGTTCTCCGCGACGGCCCAGATGGTCTGACTGCTGTCAATATGGCTGTCATACCAGCGGGTTAATTCCCTTGCAGTCGCCACGTCCTTCGCGATCGGCTTCTCAGACAGGACGTGTTTCCCGGCTTGCAGAGCCTGGCGGATGAAGTCTGGCTGGACCAGGATGGGGAGGCTGGTTGTGTCAGCCTTTCTACCTCGTTTCTTATATCTCTCGTAGCACGTAGTAAACAGAAAGAAAGAAAGAAAGGAAGGAAGGAAGGAAAAGGATACACACGCAATAATAACAGCCCCGATATCCGCCCTCGCCAGCAAATCCGCATACTCTTTCCCAGAGCCCGCATCCTCCGCGTAAAGGTCGATGGTGTTAGCCGTCTCTTTGCCCGAGTGGGCCAGAGACTGCGCCGATTTGAGAGAGCGGGAGTATACGGCTTTGAGATGGAGGTTGTCGGTGGCTTGTACGCCGGGCTGAGTGTAGATTGGCGGTTGTTAGTAGTGGATTCCGCGCAAGAAGCTTAGAGAGGGTTTGTTTGCCGTACCAGGTGTTCTTCCCGGGCGAAGATTCCTGTGGAATTGATTGTCAGCTGGAGGTTTGGTATGGGAGTAGACAGGGTAGTGAGGCAAGGTAGAAAGTACCGCTTCCGATGATGGCTACGCCGATAGTCATGGTGATGATATGATGATATGGTGGTAGTTTGGCGATTGATATATAGAATATCAAATAACCTCCGTTGAAATAAAGTAACGGGGCTATCCTTAAATATATTTGTATATAAACACCCAGAGTCAAGAATAAATGAAAAACCATGACGCATAACCTAATCCATGATTCCGCCATAGTGGAGACCGCAATTAGTTCCAGGCTCGGTTTCGGCGGGGCTGTCCTGGGCTAGGGAAGGTCCTGGCGATGGCTGGGTGTACTGTATGTCTGGTTTATGGTTGACCGTTTTAGACAGTAGATATGTTACCTGGGGGGTTTTTAGACTCGATATGTAGGTAATATGTACTATATATACTCTGCAATATATACTGTGCAATTTCATATGGGGTTAACAGACCCACTATATCGCGAAGATGTTCAAATATATAGGAGAACTGACACCAAACGCCCAACCCAAGTAAAGAAAAAGATAAAAGAAATGATTAGGGGGAAAAAAATCAACGCCATTTTCATGCTGGTCATAACAGCGTCATGACTGATGGCCAGAGCAGAGCCCATCAAATCATGTCTCATGTCCGTTCCAAAGCCGACAGATCCCAGTCGGCCATTTCCAATAACACCCAGGGTATAAGAGACAGAAACAAAGCAAAAAATGAAAGCAAGAGCGGGAAAAGCAGGAAGAATGAGGGAAGGAAGAGCCTATCCAACCATCGTTCGGATGCGCTCTACCCTAGCCATCGCCTTCTCCAACCGGTCGAGACGATTACGCTTCTCCACATCCCGACGCTCCAGCACGGCGACTCGTTCTTCCAGTCGCGCGCGCGCCTTGCGCTCCTGCGCGACCATCTCGTTGGCCTGGCTAAACAGCTGCACCGTCAGCTCCTCGAGTTCGGTGTGCGCCTGCGTCAACTGCGACTCCGCGGCGCGACGGAGGTCCTGTTCCCGGTTGAGTTGATTCTGCAGTGCAGCTGTGACGTCCGGGCTCGGTGGTGAGGGCTGTCGCGGCGATAGAGGTCCCTGAGTCTGCGGCGCGGGAGTCGCGCTGGACCGGCGATAGGGGAGGAAGGACGTCAGCGTCGATAGACGACCCTGTTGTTGCTGGGGCTGCGGTTGGGTGGGCGATAGCGATCGGTTGTCCAGGTCGTTCAACGACGCCGACGAGGCGAACGATCCGTTTGTCGGTGTGTAGGCGGCTGGCGCACCATTTGCGCGTAGACGGCGAACTTCCTCCTCGTATTCGGCCAATTTCTCGGCTGTGCGTCGACTCGTGTTAGCAAGGTCGGTGCCACGTCAGAGCGACAACGAGACAGGATCCGGGGAGGAGGGGCGGAAACGGGGGGGGTATTGTTCTGCCTTACCCATTTGCGTGGCTTGGGTGTTCAACCCATTCACCTGCCCTTCCAGGTCTTTCACCTTCTGGCGGGCATCTTGCAAGGCGCCCGGCGCGAGATACTCCTCCTGGCCGCACGACGGGCAGCCGGTGTCCCCGTTCAACGGGGTGGTAGCCTTGGTCATGGTGGGTAGCGTGCCGACTAGCGTTGTAGACGTGAGAGCGGTGGTGGTGGTAGTTGTCGACATTATTTCCCAGCACGAACGACGATATAATCGAGTGGCGAACAGATGAAAAATGAAGACAGATAAGCGATCCAGAGAATATATAGACCCAGGTAAGCGCCGGAGAATGGGCGATTGGGGCTGGGGAAATGAAAGGATCTCACGGGCAACGGATCCGTGTCGCAGACAAACAGGGCGGTTGCAGGCTGGGCTGGGTGTGATTCGAGAGAGGGAAGAAATCGCTGAAAGAAAATTCCACTAGATTTATAGCATGCAAATCATCCATATGCCTGCATACTGTAATCTTCCAGGAAGTAAGGAAGAGAGAGAGGGGAGGGGGGGAGAAGAAGGATGATGGAGTGGATGACAAGGAAAAGCGAAGTCGAGGAGCGGTGTATGGGGCTGGTATGGGACGGTATTGTTTACCAGGGACAGTACATACCCCAGTACAATTGTGTGGGGTAACGGTGGTAATATAGGTACGCCTGGAAAGAACAATGGCGGAGTATATACTTGGATAAATAGAAATAAATAAGATATAAAGATGAGCCTGGATATGCCCAAATTCAACCCATCTGATAGGAGTTTAATCCTCTCGCACGTGTGGATCGTGGGTCCTAGATTAGTGGGAAATGATCCATCACTTTGACTACAGCAGTCTGCCTACAGATCCTTGGGAAAGAAACGACAATTGAAGACAAGATCTCGACATCTTACTCAATCATCCATATGGCTTGTATTGTCTCTGATGCATGGTACTTCCTTGATCACAGTTCCCAGGGAAACCGGAAAGCCCGCCATATGACCCTCTCCCTCCTTTACGTCCGCGTCCCTTGCGCGATGAGACAGGCTTAGATTGATGGGCGAGCACAAAGTACCGCTGAATATGGGCTGGGCGTACATAAGCCCTTCCCTGACAGCCAACTCGACTATCGTCTCTCCCTTGCAGTACTTTAATCTCCGAGGCTGGGACGACGGGGGCTGATATATCCGTGGTTCCCAGCACATATACGCTTATAGCCTCCCCAACCACTTCCAACAACCTGATAATCTATGGAAACAGATCCATGACGAAATTGGAAGACCATGGTTCGCAGATTGAAGTATTCCGGCCCTGGAAAATCCACATCCTTTGCCTCGTTATGACCCACATGTTACTGGGATGCAACCCTACCACTATTAGTGAGGGAGGTTGCCGTTGCGATAGCCAAAGCCAACCCCTCTCTCCATAGAAGTGGCAAGACGCTGCAAGCGGAAAGAGTTAGGAGATTCTTATTGATCCACTCATAGTGTCCCTCGCCCTCCTGGTATCCGGCTTGTTGATATTAGAGTATCACCGTTGAACGTTACAGGCATCAACGGATGACGGACCATATCTGTCGTAATGGGTTCCCGCCTTGAAGACCAAAGAAGTAAAAAGAAGTAAATGAGATAGACCACATTGATACGATAAGGGAAATAAAAGTGGGGTATAGAGAAAGGTAGGTAGATTTAAGTGAGCAAGTCACGACGTACCATCGCATTGATGTGTAAAAGAAACAACAACAACTGTAACACACCGATAGCACTCACCACAGAACTAGAGATCACTATTCACCATGACAGGCCGTAGTCAGATCGTTTCATAGAGACAATTGTTAGCACTGAGAGAGATGCATCGACTAAGTCAACCTGCAGGAGCCTACATCCAATCACCCTCGCGTTTTTCCTGCGTCTCGACACTAAAGTAGAGGCAGGCCATGTAGGATGACAGCTAACCAGTAAGGACCACCTACTTGACTCATGCATCGATCGTGGCTTGAAATACTTTGACAAGCAGATCGGGATCAGAGATATACTTAAGGTACCTACCAAATCACTAACCGTATGATAGATAAATAAAAAAGCCATGTTTACAGCAAACCCCCACACATTATTACCAGTGGTGAATACCATAAGATTCCTTTATAGTGACTGTCATTTCTTTCTCTCTGACGATAACTACTATCTCAAGTCATGCAGCTGGGTCATAATCTTATTCGTATGGCTGTTTTGTCTCGTCATATAGAAAGGGACATGGGCTCCATTAATAGAACAAGGAAATTCAGGACTCCACACACGCCATCTCCCGATCCCCGAATAAGACAAGAGAGAAAGGGTTTGAGCACACTGGACAACAAAAGGGCCGATTTCGCCTGAAAGGGGAATTAATCAGAATAGGTTTCGCATCTTGAAGATGTCATCAAGTCATTCATTCCCTCTGCTGCGGCCGTAATGGGTCATGGGTGTATCACAATCCATCACATACATGAGAATCACTAGCTGGGAAAGGAAAAAGGAAACGGAGCAAGGAAAAAGAAAAAATAAAGTTGAAAGAAACCGAAGGGCATGAGCAACAGAGACGAAAGAAAGATGGGACAAACTTTTCAACATGTCAGACAAATTCAGCAGCGGCTAGACGTAAACCAGGCATTGGGCCTGATTGGGAAAAATCGCAAACCAAAGGAGAAGTCGGGGAGAGAAACGAAGGCAACAGAAATTAAGGAGAAGGGGAAGGACACAGCCATCACTGTAACCAAAAAGAAAACGGCGAGGGAAGAGGAAACAAGCACAAAGTCATTCTGGCCATCTCGGCGTGGAGGAGCTGTCGAGGCAGGTCAAACATCATGCGATTGAAACATTGAAACAGACAATAAGGGAAACAGATAGCCCATCCGCACCGGGATCGCAGATTGGCTTCGGCCGAGTGATGACTGGCGCAGGGGGTATCGATAGATCTATGCGAACGAGCGACCAGCCTGTCCGCGGCGGTTGTTGCGCGGCTTGGAGCTCACGGTGCTCCAGCCCTCGTCGTCGGCGGCCGGGGCGGCCGTCTCAGCCGGGGCGTTCCTCCAGCTGCCGTTGGCCTGACCCTCCTTGGCAGCTTCGGTGGAGGCCGCAGCCGCCTTCTCCGGCTGATCCTGATCCGCAGCATCACCACCCTCTTCTTCGCCGGCCCGCCGGAGGATCTCGAAGTTCTTGCCGCCCTGGGGCGCCTCGGCGCTGGCTTTGGAGTCCGTCGAGGCGTCCGGCTTCTCCGTCTTGGCCTGCTCCTTGGCGGCCTTTTGCTTCTCGGCTTTCTCAGCCTTGGCCTTCTCCTCCGCTTCCTTCTTCTGGCGCAGGGCCACCTGGCGGCGCTCCTCCACCTCCCTCTCCTTCGTGGCCGTGTCGATGGGTCGGGCGCCACCGAAGGGGCTGGCCTTGGAGTCGCCGGTGGCGGACGGGCTGGACACGGGTTCGGCGACGGTGCGCTTCTGCAGGTTCAACCTGGGCCGCGAGGCGGGGGCCGCGGGGGCCGCGGGCGTAGCCGCAGCGGGAGCCGGCGACGGCGGGTTGCTGGGCTCCTTGGGGGCCGGGGGCTGATCGGGTCGCATGCGGGATCTCCACGAGTTGTCCATCTCGGCGGCCGTCGGTGTGCGCTCCTGGAATTCGCGTCGGGGGGGTCTCGAGCCGTCCTGGGAGCGTCCCTCGTGAGAGCGTCCCTCGTGGGAGCGTCCCTCACCCCAGGCGGGGGAGTTTCGTCGGAAGCCGGGGCCTCCTTCGTTGCTGAGAGGGCGGCCGCCTTCCCTCAAGGGAGGGCCAGTCGGGCCACCGGCGGACGGCGACAGAGGGCCCTTTCGCTCCCAGTTGCCAAAGTCACGGACTTTGCCGTCGGACTCAAAACCGCCACGGCGTCCGCCACGGTCACTGCCGGCATCCGAGAGGTTATCGAGATTACGGCCAAACGACGAGCGATCGGGGACACGGCGCGCGGGCGCATCGGAAACAGGAAGAGGTCCTCGGCGAGTCCAGTCGAACTCCTTGACATCACGCTCCTTGGCTGCAGGCAAACCGTCAACATGCAAACCCCGAGCGGCGGGGAGAGAAGGGCAAGAAGCTACTTACGAGGTTCGGCGATGCTAACACGAATGGCACGGCCTTGCAGGGTCGCGCCCGAGAGATCCAGAGCCTTCTTCAGACCCTCAACGGTCTCAAACTCGACGTAGCCAAAACCCTTGGGGGCCTTGGTCAACTTGTCTTCCACGACGCGGACGTTGGTCACGGAGCAATCCGCAAAGAGATCGCCGATGTCGCCCGCAGTCGCATCGAAGGACAGGTTACCCACATGGACGGTGTAGGGAGGCTGGGTCGGAAGAGGAAGAGGCTCCCTCACAGCGTAGCCACGATCTTGTTGTCGCCACCACGGTTAGAAGAGAAACAGCCAAACCAGGGTCAGGGCAAGGGTCCATACCATTGAAGGACGATCCAAAGCCAGAAGAAGAGGGCGCAGGACGACGATCAAAGCCGCCGGAAGAAGGGACTATCTAATGTAAGATTCGTGATCTCCACGTCGGGGAGGGGAAGAGGGATGCGATTGATGGGGGAAAGACCAGAAGGTTGGCCAGAACATACCGGCTGTGGGAAGATTCAAATTAGCAACGAAAAAAAAAGAAAAAGAAAAAAAGATCAAATCATCCACAACCTAGGTGAGACTTACCAGGCATCGGCATCTCATCCATCTCATCAGCCCACGATCCAAGACCTGATTCCATTAGTCTGATTGTTCTCCGCAAAAAGGTCATGAAAAAAACCTACTGTCATCAGCCAGGAAGGTGCTGATCGACATCTTCTGGGCCTTCTGCTTTCCAGGCGCTGTTCACACACATCATCATCAGTATACACTGTCGATCAAACGGCTCATCAAAGTGGAGGGGGGGGAGGGGTGGTAGGAACAAACCCATGATTGCGGTTGTACGGGGGGGGGGGGGGAGGGAAGTCAGGTAACGCGCCAAGGGCAACAGTGCGCGTCTGAACGCAGAAAGAGGAAGGATGAAAGAGAAGAGAAAAAAAGACTTCCAACTAGGAAGATATGAGGAGAATCGTCGAGTTTGGATAAACAAGACGGAAGAGCGATGGTGGGTTGCAGGTAAGTCTCCGCAGTGAAGAGTAGGAGGGGGGGATAATTTTTAGTGATGACGCTAGAAAAGTCAGCCTCTCAAAAAGTTGTTGGTGCGCTTTTTCTCTCTCTCTGCGCCTCGACCCAGAAACCGAGAGGGCTTTTTTTATTGGATTTCTTTGGTTTTACTTCCACTCTTCTTTTTCTGTTCTTCCTTATGACCTTCTCTTACCACTGCTTCTTTAAACTTACTCTTCTATAATTTATTTATCTTGTGGAGAATTAATATTAACTCCATGGGATTCTTCATAAAGAATACCTGTAGACTCGGCAAACTCTTGGGCAACTTAGTACCTCTCATAGCCGATTATTCATCCCAGGCACCCGAATGGTGCCTTGATTGAATGTAACCAGATCGTCCTTTGGTCCGGGGTTTTATCATGGAATATTACTGTCTTTTCTTTTTGTATATGATATAGATATATGTATAAATATGTTGTTATTATTATGATCATTATCATCATTATTAGTACACCTCTGGTGAACCAAAGAAAATGAATATAATTAAAACTACCTATATCGGATAGCTCGGGTCTACATATATATAGTAACTGTGACAGTGAAAGGTCACCAGGTATCAGGGCAGTCCTTCTAGTAACACTTCACATCACAATCAGTTTGACTATACCCATTTTTTGGAGTGAATGCAACTTAATACATTGTCATAGACAATATAACTAGTGCCAGTCTGCTGTTACAGTGGTGGTGAACTTCATCTTCACCAACAAAATTGTATAAAGACACAAAGATGTCGATTGCCAGTCATAATAGAAGCTGCTGCTTTGAGACCTGAGGTTACTTCATCTGTTCATTTGCCCTATGAAAGAAAGCTCACTATCTACCTCTATCCTATCTACATCCTCTGTCACACTGGATACAGGGTTACTCACGGACCCCCAAAGTGTCATGATATCTTTTGTAGCCGATTCCCTCACCTCTCTCTGAGACAAAAATGACAGTCTCACAGCTTAGATGTTTCCCTCCCTCACTCCTCATGCACCCAGTTCATCTTCTCTCACTGTTGTTCACTGGTGTCTTTTCTTGTACCGTCCCTCCAAAGCCAGCCCTCTAACCACCAGCAGAGCCGTCTTAATTCTCAGGACCTTCCTGAGTTATTTCCGCCACTATAAGCCAGCTGATGAGCTACTGGACGAACAGCGACGCGGATTGATAGAGTAATTTGCAGACTTATCGACAGCAACAGAATCCCTTCAGCAGAATAGGCGTGTCTTTAATTCATTGATGAGATTTCATGCCGCCTTTTCAAAAGTATGCTTAGGCGCCAGGGCACCTCAGATATGCCGACAGAGTGTAAAATGGCTACTACTATCAACTCCACGCTAACGACACTAGGGTGCGATGGTTCAAAGATTGGCCAAAAGATGCTGAGAGCGAGAGTGATTTGGAAGATGATCAGATGTCGAACGAGATTCCAATGATGAGACACCTAGCTGAAAAAGAAAGCTGATGTCATGAGGAAACAATAGAGACAATATCATATAACTATGCTTATCTGTCAATAGTACTCATTATTATGGTACCATGATCGAGGCCATCCATGTTACACGGGTTGAATCACTGACACCGCTTCTCATGATCGTCGGAAACAAGACCAAGCCTTTTCGTTCAGGGATAATGTAGATCCTGTTGCTTAGCTAGGAGCGAATGTACCAACACCCTCTCTGTCCCGTTACTTTACCAAGGACAGTGACGTGACGGATGATGGGTCTGAGAGTGATCCTTCGGCCCGTTAGACGGAGTAATTCCCCGGAAATTCTCCCGTCGCGAATGGGACCGGTAGGGTTATGTGGGCGACATGCCAGTCGATCATGCAATAAAATAGACCGTACCCTATCGAAGAAGGATATTGTTTCCTCGCGCATAAGGTCTGATCGATCCTGTGTTTCCTGCAGTTTTAGTATGACCTGCAGTCTTAGTATGATTCTTTTCGCTGCGTCTCTTGGCCTGGTAGGTTCGAGATGATAGGTAGGTCCTGGTCAGTGATCCCAGATTTCTATCACATTTGATAGTGGTCGGGATTGTGGGGAGTTGACGATGCTTCGTTTCCGTTAGGTTAGTCCAGTCCTCCCCTGTTGACTGGTATTCAAGAGGCAAATTAAGCGGTGTATTAATCCCTTTGTCTGGCCATCATCATCAATCCAACAAGAAGAGATACTGTTGGAAGATTCTGTTGGAAGATGACCCTGTTACACAATACGTGTGGTTAAAACGAGGGCTATTGCAACACATGGCCAGAGCATAACGAACGCGGCAACTCATCATGGTTGATATGATCGTTGCGACATCGTCTCAGGGCGGAGTGCATCCATCCACTGGGACTTCGTCGACTTCGTATCAGGGATAAAGGTGCCCCTGAAACATTGGGATAGATCCAATTATGAGGTGTCGAGCAGTGGAGCCGTACGATGTTCAGGGATGGATAAAGAACTAAGCTATCCACTGAGAGTGCCCCAAGACGACATGACCCTAGATTTTTCCAAGGACCTGGGAAAAATCTGTACGGAGCACATCGTTTCTTGACTCGTTTGATTAGATTACTCTATTTTTATTCGATTTTACTTTATTTTTGTTTTAGTACGGGATAGTTCGTGGAAGGATTAGCCCTGTCAGGCAAATCAATATGCGAGTCGACGTAACTTGGATCTGCGCTTGTCCTTGAGGCAGCGATGGTGTGTGGTTGATTGGGGGTCAGCAATCTCGAGTCAGTCGAAGAGTCTGGAAAAATCTCATCTGCTGGGGACCGTCCGGACTGAATCATCTGCAGGAATCCGGTGATATACGAGCATTGATTCAGCCGTACAGGTACTCCGTATAGATCTCACCTACGGAATAATCAATCCTATATGATTTGTCGCAGAAGATGATGATGACGGTTGACGGAAGATGACAGGTAGAGAGATGGATAGATGGTCAGTACCTGGGTAATACGGATACACATCATACGCCATATAGGGTAGGCGGTCAGTCCCAAGGGGGTAAAATGCTGCGGTGGAGTATGTACCATGATAAGGAGTTACATCCATTTGGCTCCTTTCCATGCCGAGCCTTCCGTTTCGAGGGCGGCTAGTACGTACCGTCCCTGTCACTAGTCGAGACTAGTAGGATTCTGCCACCGATCCAGAAGGTATCGAAGTTACGGAACTTTACCCAGCGGGATTCGATCTATGGTTCATTCGGTCGGATCGTCTATCATACACTCATTATTACACTCGATCAACCTACCCATACTTACCCTATCCTAACCCACCCCTTCTCTCCCTCCTCTCTCTCATCTACACCTTTCATGATATTTTTTTGTATTCGATTCCAGAAGCATGACTGAAACGCACTCGGCACCGGTTCATTTCCACGCTTTTCCCCGTGTCGCGCATTTCTGCTCTTAACGGTGAACTGTCCTTGCCCCCCTCCCCGTTCCGCGAAGCGATCCCGCGGAACTGATCGCCTTCGGGGGTTGATAGGGATTATCGAAAAATTTAGGGACCGTCAAAGTCGCCCCCTCGCGATCGCCGTCAAGAGCTACCTCGATAGTTCGACAAAATCGATATCGATGCTTGCCTCCCTGTCATCCCGCTTCGGTTTGACAACGGTTCGGCCCTCCTGAGCGCGAAGCAACGATGACGCTCTTCAACCCGACCACCGTCCTCGTCGGATTCCTCCTGCTCTACCTCTCCTCGTTCCTCATCTTCGCTATCGTTCGCATCGCGACCGGAGTCTCCATCCAGCGCATTGGCTATTTCTCCCTCCGACGCATCGCTTACTCCCCCAAGGAAGGTGTGCACATCGAGCTACGTGGTCTCGGCCTCTCGCTACATCCCCCCTCGTTCGCCCAACCGACATGGCTGAGTCTTCGGTTTACCGACCTGAAGGTGACTTTGGATCGGTCCGCGCTGGAGAAGGGGAAGGAGAAGGAGAAGGAGAAGGAGAAAGAGAAAGAGAAAGAGGAAGAGAAAGAGGAAGAGAAAGAGGAAGAGAAGGAGAAGGAGAAGGAGACGGAGAAGGACACCGCGGGCAAGACGGAGACGCCGCAGGAACCCCTGAGCCCCGGTGTCGGGAAGCGTTGCCCGGATGAGGGGGTTGGCTCGTCGTCGCCGGCGCCGAGTAAGACGTGGAAGACGTTGAATAAGCTGAAGGAGTCCGTGAAGAAACTGCATCGGAAAATTCACTGGTTGAAATTGGTGGATGTGGTCGCGGTTAATACAACCCTCAATTTCGTCGAGGCCGGCCAAATTCAGGTCGGGTCTCTCTCCTTGGCGGTCGACACGAGGCGGAAGATGGTCGATCGGGGGAAAGTGTTTCGTCGGAACAAGAACGCGTCTGGGGAGCAGCCGCCGGCGGAATGGATCCTCAATGTGCAGAACGTTCTTCTTTCGGTCGATGGGGGCGAGCCGACCGAATTGTTGGACAATATTGGGGTGAACGTCCACGGGATTCTCCACAGAGACTTCGAGGGGTTGCGCGATGTCTCGATCGCGTTCAAGATCGGGAGAATGCATATTCCCTACGACGACCTGATGACTGTGATGCAGCGGATTAAAAAGTTTCGGACGGGCGGCACGAATGCGACACCGAACGACCTAGATCGCGAAACATATTTTGACGACTTCGTGGAGGAATTGGAAAGGCCGGGAAGCCGTGACGCGGAGATCGTGCAAACAGTCGCCGATTCCAAGGAATTCGCCAGTTCCCTGCTCCGCGGAGTGCAAGAGATCCAGGTTGCCTTGAGTTTCTTCCGCTTATCCCGCGCGATCCAACCCGCCTCTCCCAAGCAGAGCTCGGTCTACCTGAACGTCGTGTCCCATGAGCTAGGTCTCGACCTCCATCGCATGGATCAGCACAGCCCTGCTCACCGGATGTACTTCCAGCGGAACGATGTCGCCCATCAAGCTCTCCTGGCCGCCATCTCCCTTTCGGTCAGCCTTGATGATAGTTCCGGAGAGACCGATAACATCCTATATATCCCTATGGCCACCACAACCATCAAGACTACGCTCCCCTCCAAAACCATCAGCCATTTCGACGAAGTCAACCCGGAAGACAAGAACACGAACATCCTTTTCGCCAACTTG